CAGGGAACGTCTGTGGGGTGTCTGAGCAGGCAGCAGCACATCCAGCACCCGCCCCTGGGAGCTGCGGGGCCACAGGGTGCTGGGGACACCGAGGGGACATCCATGTGGCCTTGGTGGCACTTCGGTGCCATCCGAGGCAGCTCTGCCACAGTGATGTGCGGCTCTGTGATCAGCGTGGAAATGAATTATTTTCTGGAAAAGAGGATTTTCGTGAGTGTTTCCATGCCCGGCCAGCTCAGCACCATCCGTCACCCAGCTCTGGCGGTGGGCACGAAGCAGATTTCTCCTCTGTCTCCCTGCGAGTGCCTTCATGAAATCCTTTGGGGTCATTCCTGGGAATATTTAGAGGAGTTTGGGAAAAGCCCCGGCAGGATTTTGCTTCCTGGTGTTGGTCCTGAGCCCAGGGCTGAGGGCACCGAGTGGTGCTGGGCGTCCTTCCCCTGCCCGTGTCCCTTTTCTGTGGGTTCCAATAAGGAGCGGGCGAGCGGAGCCCCCTTTTCTCCCACAATAACTTCCTTCTGAAGTCTCTTTATCTCCTCCTTATCCTTCCCGGGCTGCTTCGTCAGGAGGAGAGCGGGTGGGTAATTAATTTCCTTTTTCCTCTGCAAAATCAGCCAGCTGAATCATCCCACCCTGCACCCGCCGGGGAGGCGCAGGGATGGGCGCACGGTGCCATTGGTGCCCCAATCCAAAGCCCTGACCCCAAAGTGGGGGGCACGGGCACCGGGGTTTGAGCTTTCCAAGCCGTGTTCTGTGTTTGGGTTCCACACATGGGGTTTTTCATCCTCTTTTCCTCCTGTTTTCTCTGACTGTGGTGAGCCCTCGGTGGAGACCCGCAGCCACAGCCGCTTGTTTCACCCCAAAATCCTACAGCCAGCTCCCCAGGGCTGGTTCCTTCTCTCAGATGCTGAGATGTGGGGGTGACAGCATCAGTCCCAATCCCACCTGAGCCAAATTGGGGCAGAAAAGGGAAAAAACGGGAAAGTCAAGGTCAGCAACACCTTGGCTGGGTGGCAGCTCCGTTTTGGGGCAGGGGAGGGACCCCCCTGCGGACAGCCCCACACGGGGCTGGCACACCAGAGCCCTCCGACCTTCCCACACCCCCTGCAATCTCATTTAAAAATTTCCCAAGTTACCACGGTTTTTTTTCTTCCCAATCTGAGAAAAATGGCTGTTTAAAAAACAGGGTTTACAGCGGTAAGGCCAAGAGATGCTCGGCCACACGTGGGGCTGAGTTGGTGACCCCAAAAAGAGGCAGGGATGGGACACAAGCTGAGGTGTACGGCAGCATCACGGAGCCTGGGCTCTCCCCAGACCCTCTCCAAGCCTCACACAGGCACCTCAGCCCTGCAGCTCCCCTGGAATGGGATTTTTTTTTCCAAAACCGTGAGGAATTACAGCTGGGCATCGCCGCACAGCAGGAGGACGGGCGTTTTGCACAGAGCTGTTTGCAAACGATGATGAGGGAAGAAATTCTTTCCCCCTCCGTGCGCATTAAACCCTTCCTGGAGAAGTGCAATTACCGCTAGAAAAACCAGGAAAAGCAACGGCTGGGAGCGGCGCGGCGCTTATTTTTAATAACAGCTTGGCGCAATCTGCACACATTTTTCAAACAACGTTAGCCTTCTCCTGCCAAGGCCCCTGCGTAACCGTATTTCTCCTGGAAGATTTCTGCCACGGCTTGAAAGCTCCGTGCGCAGAGATTTGAGGAGGACTTTGGGGTTAAGAGGAATGGGAAATGGGTCTGCTCATTATTGGAAGGAGCCGGGTGCCTGCACTGAGCAAAATTGCCCCAGCCCCTCTCCTGCAGCAGGGATAGGAGCTGTGGTAACAGCATTTTGGGGGGGTTTAGTGCCACTCGGTGCTGTCCTGTCCTGGCTTTGCCACCCTGGGGAGGATGTGGGGCCACCTCTGCTCCTGCTCGGTGGCTCCTGCTCCTTTTTAAAGAGGTGAAAGCTTGGAGAAGGAAGGACGCACCCGCACTGCGCCTGGGTGAGCGGGGTGAGCCCACGTTGGGGCTTGAGCCCCCTCCACAGCAGCTCCTGAGCGAGCAGCCAAAATTCTGCAGCTTCAATTTTGAACAGGTACGAGCCTGAGCAGACCCAAATTGAGCCACTTCGCCATCGCAGCAGTGTCATTTGGTGCAGAGCCCCCGCACACAGCTGGTGACACCCGGTACCTTGCACGGTGCCAACGTGTTCTCACCCCAATGAGCTCCTGGACGAGGAGGATGTGTGGTTTTGGGACCAACATCCCAGAAGAATGAGATTTTCTGGTTTTAAACCATGGGCAGAGCATCGCCTGGTGCTCTGGTGATGGGGAGCACCGTGCAAAGTGGCGAGTCTCCATGGCACAGGCACCTGCTTGGCTTTGTCCCCGTCCCCATCCCAATGCGGGTGCGTGGCCAAACCCCTCCAGCACATGAGCATCAACCCCTGGCTGAGATCCACGTGCCACAGGTGAAGGTGGACACCCCCAAAAATACTCTTGGGGTTGCTACTGCGGGGGAACGACAAGCTCTTGTTCCACAAAACGCTGGCACGTGGCGCTCGGGGACATTTTTTGGCCACCCACCGGGGCGTGCACAGCCTGGATGGGGACGAGCACCCTCCAGCACCCATAGGGGGAGAAGGGAATTTTGTTTTTTTGGGGGGTTGGCGTTCAGCTGGGGTCGGTGCTGAGTGCTGAGGGCGCTGCTCCTCTCCCCACTGCACCCACGGGACGCGCCCGGTGCCATCCGCGCGTCCCCAAACCCCATCCCTCTCCTGGGGGGGCGCTGATGCTGGAAAGGGGGGGGACCCCGGAGCAGGTCGGGGCTATATGGCGAGGGGGGAGAATCGGGGGTCTCCGGGGGCACCGGCAGCCCCGGGAGGGGAGCAGCGGGGTGAATTCGGGGCGGATCGGCAGGCGGAGCGCACACCGGGGGGTGGCGGAGCGCGACGCCGCCCCCGGAGCGGGCACCGGGGCGGGGCGCGCCGGGAGCTCCCGGTGCCGGCGGCGGCGCTGGGGGGCGCGGGGGCTCCGTCCCCCCCTCCGGAGCGGAGGATGAGCTGCGGTGACGCCAAGGACATGGAAGGTAGCGGGGATGGAGGAGCCGGGGATGGGGATGGGGATGGGGATGGGGATGGGGATGGGGATGGGGATGGGGATGGGGAGGGGGCTCAGGTGCGCGGTGGGACCCCCCCCAAAACCCTCGGCAGGAACGCAGGGGGGCTCCGTGGCCATCCTCGGGGGGTGCCCCCCAGCCTCAGAGCCCCCCCAGCCGCCTCCTTCTGTCCCCGGTGTGTGCTTCGTGCTGGGCTCTGCCCTCTCCATCCCGGGGGTGCTGCCTGTCCCCCCCCCCAGCTGTCCCCACCACCCCAGGGGTCTGTCCCCAGCCCTGGGGATTCTTTTTCCGTGCCCCCTCCTCCAGCTCGGGGCTCTGCCCCTTCCATCCATGGTGACCATCCGTCCCCAGCCTTATCCCCAATTTTTTTTTTTTTGGGGGGGACACCAATAAAACGGGATGGGAAATTTGGCCGGAGAGGGGTGGGTGCCAGGGCAGGGGAGGCCGGAGGGGTGCTGGAGCAGGATGGGACCCCCAGGAGGGGCTCGTGGGGGTGGAAGGGGCTCGCTGCAGGCCGGGGTGCCCGTGCCGTTGGGCTTCTTCCCTGCCTGCACCCCCCCCCCCCAGGGCACCCGATCCCATCCTGGGGTGCTCAGGGACCTCCTGGCGGTGCCCCTGGGGCGCAGGAGCACCCCGAAAACCACACACAGCCCCAAAAGGCTGTGCCCCAGGGCTCCCCTCACAGGGCTGTGCACCCCAAAACCCTGCTCCGGGGTGGGCAGCACCCCCACGGGTCCCCCAGCTTTATGGGCAGGGGGAGCACGAAAGGGGCAGCTGCATTTTGTCCCCCCCCTCCTCCTGCTGCTTTGGCAATAGCAGAGAGCAGTCGTGGGCTCCAGCTCCGTCCCCGGCCACACGAGGGGCTCAGGATTTGACCTCCGTGAGCAGGGAATTAATTACGGGGAAGGTGCTGGGATGATGCTCCCGGGTGTTGATCCTCTGCTTGGGATTTGTCTTGTCCTCCTCGGGGCCAGCAGGTTTTGGGGAATGGCTCAGGGCAGGACCCGGTCCCTAGGGACATTGCACGGGGACAGCTCCAAACACGGGGTGCCCCAGGGGTCCCGGGGAGCGGTGCTGTGCCCCTGGCTCACGTGGGTGCTGCCGAAAACACGACAAAACCCCTGGAGAGCAGCCCCACAAGCAGAGCCTGTGCTGAGTCCTGTCCCCCCTGTCCCGGGAGCAGCTCCTGCAAATCCTCCCCAAATCCCTCTCCAGGCTCTCCGCACCTCTGCGCCTTGCTCCTTGCACCCTTAAGGTGTGAAGTTGGCTGCTTTTGGCCGATTTCCCCTTTTTTTTTTTTTGAGGTTTCTGTCTCAGGAGGTTCCCATCCACCTCTCCCCAGCGTAAAAACGCTGAGAAGGGGGGGCAGGCACAGAGTGCCCATCGCTGCCCCCCCCGTGCGCCCTCCCTCTGCCCGCCCCGCGCTCCTGGAGGGGTGCCCAAAAGAAAAGAAAGAAGCCACCGAGGGAAAAGGAGCCCGCAGCCATTCCCAAGCCTGCGGGGGGACCGAGCCAGCAGCAAGGCACCCACCCCACAGAGCTGGCAGGAGAACCACAGGGGGCACAGCAGCCTGGCTCGTGGGAATTCGGGAAGGCTGAACCCCCCCCCTGACCCCAATGTGCCCAAAAGGAGCCCCCTTAGGGTCCTGGGAGCGGGGTGGCTCGGGGCTACGCAGGATTTCGCTGTGGTTTTGCCCATCCCAAGGCGCTTTGATGCCCGGCCACTTGCTGGCACTGCTCAGCCCCCCCCCCCCCGTAGCCCCCTCCTGTCCCGGTGCCAGCTGCCCAAACCCCCCCCCTCAACCCCGGACTAAGCAGGGGCACGCGGGGCGAGCGTGGATCAGATTCAGATCAAACACAGGGGGGGGGATTAAGGCCTTGGGGAGGTGCTGGCGGCGCAGCCAGCGGGACATTGGGGAGGGGGCTGCGTGGGGGCAATTCCTGCGTGTGTGTCCCCCCCTCCCCGAGCAAAACGGCCTCGAGCCGGAGCTGGGGCGAGCGTGCGGCCGCCGCTTATTGGCAGGAGGACGGGGAGGCAGCGAGAGGAGGCAGTCAGGTGTGGAAGAGGCGATGAGGGGAGGAAGGGATGGATGGAGCTGCGCTCGTGACAGCCGGGTGCCGAGCGCTGGTGAGCGCGCAGCCCTCCCCCCTGCCAAGGATGCAGCAGGGCCGCCCGTCCCTCTGCTGCGTCTCCGCCGTCCGCAGCTCGCGGGGTGCCCCCGAGCCAGGTGAGGGGGGCAGGGGGCTTTGGGGGGGGCTGCTGGTGCACCCCAGGGTGCGGGTGCAGCCTCTGGCTCAGTAGAAAGAGGCAGAGGGGATGGGGAGGCTTTTTGGGGTGAAGGGGAGAAGGATGGGTGCGCTGCTGGGGGGGCACGGGGAGGAGAGGGGGGCTCGTGGCGGGCATGGGGGCTCCTCTCCCTGTGACCCCTCCTTGTTTCAACGTGTCCGAGCCTTGTGCCACAGCTCAGCGCTCTCTCCTCGCACCTGCACCAGGAATTTGGGGTCCCCGGAGGTGGGCACGAGGAGCTGGGGAGGTGCTGGGGGGGCTCTGGGCTGCGCCACGGCCACTGCAGCCCCCGCCACGGAGCAGAGCCTCCGACGCTCCCTGCTCTGCCATATTCCAGGCTGGTTTCCCCCCCTTGCTTCCCCCCTCTCCCATCTGCTCCCTCTCTGTCTCCCCTGCCTCGCCTCCAGCCCCGTTTATTCGGGGCGGGGGGGGAGATGCCCACGTCCAGCTGCTCCCCACGGGTCCCCCAGTCCAGCCCCGCGTCCCGCTGGTGCTCAGCGTCCCCGTGGGGCTCGGTTCCATTTCTCTCCTGCCAAATCCCCTGCTCAAGGGCAAGCCCTTGCCATACGAGAGCGGGCTGAGCACAAAGTTTTATGGCTAAGCCGTAATTTCCTGCCGGTGGGGTTAGCAGGGGACAGCTCGGTGGCGGTGCCGGGAAGGGGCACTGCACCCAGAGCTGTTTTCGGTTCCTATCCACGTCCCCAGCCTCAGTCCCCAGCCAGGTGCCCCTTTGGGCTGTTCTCAGATCCCCTTGGGTCCTCCCCAGCTCCGGCCTCCCCTCCTGGGAGGCTGCTCTGGAGCTGAAGCCCTCGCGGAGCCAAGTCTGACTCTCAGCTCCTCATTTTCCACTTCCCGGACTGATCCAGCACCTCCAGTCCTCAGGCAGGTTTATTTCTGTCCCGGCCATAAATCCAAGGGGCACCGCTCACATCCCGCTTCCCCCCTGCCCAAAGGGCTGCGGGAGGACCCCGGGAAACCTTAAAACCCCTGGGGATGAGCAGCAGTGGCTGTTCCCAAGCCCCGTCACCCTCCACCCTTGGTTATTTTTCACCGTGGATCGTATCTCATCACTGTTTTTTTGGGGTTTTGCTGTTCCTGGCTCACTGGGGTCAAAGCAGGTGCTGGGGGATGCTTGGGTCTCTTATCCCCAGCCGGCTGCCCCTATCCACGTGGATCCTACAGCAGCAGGCGGCCCCTTTGCCCCCCAGCTCCAGAGGGGAGCTTTGCACCTTCATCACCACGCAATTAGATGAAGTCTGAGCTCATTAAAGGGGCGAGGGACAACAAGTGGCCGTTGCTGATGGGTTGTGTGTGCTGGTTATCACCTGGGTGAGCACCACCGGGGTGCCCAGGGTGGGTTTTGTCCCCCCGGGTCCTCTCCAGCCCTCGGTGGGGACGGATCCAGTTCGGTCTGCGGAAACCGGCTGCACTCTTCCTCTTTACATGCCACTCTGATGAGAAAAAAGGTTTTTCTGATGGGTTTTTCCCCCTAGCGAGGTGCTGATGGAGAGGGAGGGGATTCCAGCAATGGGTACAGCCAAATCCATCAGGACACGGGGCTGCAGACTTGGGGCTAAAAGCAGCATTTCTGGGCAACGCCGCGGGGCGCGGCACGGACGGACGCAGCCACCGCTGCTGCCGCCACCTCTCGCTCCTTTTTTCCCCCTCCCCAGCAGCCGCCGCTCACTTCAGCTTCTGCCGCAGCCTCCTGGAGCACACGGTGTCGGCCGAAAACCTCAGCTACCGCCTGCAGCGCAGCCCCGGCACCAGCCTCACCTGGCACGACGGCCGCAGCCAGCGCTCGGAGGGCGCCCGCGCCGTCAAGCTCCTGCGCCAGCCGGGCACCGAGGGCGCGCAGGTACCCGCGGGGTTATGGGGGTGGCATCATCCCCACGGCTTTGAGGGGGAGTGAACCCCTCGTTGGCCCCCCCAGGAGGTGTTTTTTGGAGGGTTAGGCCTTTAGGGGTTTGGGGTTTGGGGGTTATTTGGTAAGGGGTGGGTTAAGGGGGTGAGGAGGGGGTGTGGGGTGAGCCCGGAGCGTTGCTGATTCCACGTTCGGAGGTGGAAGTTGGCACAGCTCTGCAGGAAATGTGCCAGCTCCAAATTTCTTATATTGCCTTCAAATCCCGGAGCGTTCTGGCGTGTCGTTTAGGAGGAAATGCTCCAAACCTGGCTAAAATCCTGGACTTTATTGCGTGAATGCGCCTCGCTGAAGCAGCGAGCCCCAAGTTCCCAGCCTTCGCTTCCCTCCCTGCCTCTGTGCTGCCGTGGGAAGGAGCAGGAAGGGTCCCTGGTGCTTGGAAACCCCAAATTCGGACAGCTTCACAGCTTTTGGTGCTTCATGAACCTGAGCTGCTGATGGCGTGAGGACAGGGCAGCAGCAACGTGGAGCCCTTTGGAGAGGCGTTCGGAGGCTGCAAATCCAGCCGGTGACTGCTGGGGAGAAAACCTGGGAGATAAAAGGGCACAGACCCCACAGGGGGACGCGTTCACCTGCTGGGGACCTGCCAGAGAGGAGCGGGGCCCCGTGGTCACACCGAAATCCTCCTGGAGCAGCAGCAGGGTCTTTGTCCCCCACCTCTGCACGGGGACAGCAGGGACACGGCAACCGCTCTCCAGGCTGCTGCGCTTCTCTTGTCCCCCCCGTCTGCCTCCAAGTGCCTCCCGGGGGGGTTTAGGGGTACAAATCAAGCCTTTAATTGTGCCACAAACAAGAGAAAACGCCTGAGGGACCGGCGGTGACGCCAGTTGTTGGCTGCAGGTCCCCACGCAGCGGCGCGGGGACGGCTCCCCCCGGGCACCCCCAGCTCCTGGGCATCGCTCCTGCCTGCTTGCCTCAACTGCCAGCCTCTGCCTTCACGGCTGAGGTTTCATCAGAGAGACAGCGCGGCTCAGCCGCCTGGAAAACCAGCCCGGTGCTCGTTATCTCCCCGTCCCTGCCTCCAGGAGCCGGCGGGGGCCGCGTCCCGCAGCTCCCGGCCGCGCGCTCGGAGAGCTGCCGTAGGTAGCGGTGCTGGAGGCAGGCTCTGCGCTTCTCATCGTGGCTCGGAAGGGAACCCCAAGCACGCAGCACCCCAGAGCCTACCCAGGAGCCCCGTTGCGCCAGCCTGAAGCTGGGTGGGAAATTTCCTCTGCTGGAAACCCTGCAAACCCCATCCGGGGAGCGCTCGGGCTTCACCTCGTGGCCGCACCCTGCTGCAGGACGGCCTCTGGGTATTTATCCACCACCTCCCAGCTTTGCCTTCTTCCCTCCTGTCCCCTGTGGCCACAGCGAGGGCTGCTCGGTCCCTTTATGGCCCCAAATGCACCTCCTGCACCTTTGCTTTTGCTGCAAAAAGCCCAGGGGTGCAGCACCACCCACACCCCGGGGCTCACCGGAGCATCCCAAACCCCTCCAACCCTCCTCCACCACCCGGGGACGTGCTATTAGTTTCAGCAACCGCAGGATGTCTGGAGCCCCCGTTACACTAATTATCTCTGCTCCTCCATTAGGCATGCTTAATTAGCCGATGTTCACACATCGAGGTCGGCGCTGGCGCACCGCGGTCCGAGCGCCGCCGACCTTTGCGGTGCCGCCGGGTCCCCGTGTCCGCTCCTTGTCCCTTTGCTGCCCTGGATGTGGGACGGGAGCATCCTTGGAGGGACCCCCGGGACCCCCGTCCCCTCCTGCTCAGCACCAGCACGGATGGGGCTCCTCCTGCAGCCCCGGCTCCACGTGAGCTGTGCCCCCAGTGCCATGCTGAGCCCACTGAAGCGATGTTCACCGGCCCCACGCTCGTGCAGAGGATGAGGACGAGTCCTCAGCATCGCTGCGCTGACCCTGTGCCCCTCTCCGCAGCCCCCTGGCTTCTCCCCCGGGAGCTAAACCCGAGAAATTTGGGCTTTGGCGCGCCCCTTCCCCACCCAGAACGTGCCATCCGCCTGGGCAGGCGCCGCCGTGCCAGAAGCAGCCTCGTTCCCCTGCGCTGTTCCAGCTTTTGGGGTTTGATTTCGCTGCACGCTGAGATAAATCCAAGCTGCAGCAGCCTGGGGAGGCTGCAGGTGCCGTGCCACGGGCGAGGAAACGGAGCCAGGAGGTCTGGATGCTCCAGCACCGCGACGGATGCGGCACGTGCGCCCCAGCTCTCCGTTAGCATCCCCGGGGGGACATACTGACGCCTCCCTTCTCCCCCCTTTTTCCCCCTGTAGGGCCGTGGCTGCGATCATTATGGCATTTACCACACCAGCCCCACGCTGGGCAGCCTTACCAAGCCGGTGGTGCTCTGGACGCAGCAGGATGTGTGCCGATGGCTGAAGAAGCACTGCCCGCACAACTACCTGGTCTACGTGGAGGCTTTCTCACACCACGCCATCACAGGTGATGCCCCTCGGGGTCGCCTCGCGCGGGTTTTTGGGGGGTTGGGGTCCGGGGCAGGCTTTGTTTCTGCCCCCCTAAACGGTGAGATTTGGGATGGTGGCTTTGGGGTGGTGGCTTTGGGATGGTGGCTTTGGGATGGTGGCTTTAGGATGGTGTTTTTGGGATGGTGTTTTTGGGATGGTGGTTTTGGGATGGTGGTTTTGACCCTTAACTACCAGCATTGTCCCCATCCCACCACGACACATCCATGGCTGGGCAGAGCTCCTCAGATCTCTGTGGGGTCAGGGCAGCATAAAGAACTGCAGCCCTATGCCCTTGAGGGATGCAAAGCCCTAATGCAAGAGCTCAGCGAGCCCTTGTGTGGGAAATAAAGGGAGCATTAGCCGGGAAGCGAGGACAAAAGCTTGGTGGTGAATCCCTCCTCTAATAGCCCCTGGACTGGAGGAGAGTGGCTGCGTGGGGACGGGGGGGCAGTGGTGCTAATGGGTTTTGATGGGTGCCCCATTTCCCCTGGCCGCCAGCCTGTGTGTGGGGTCAGGAGAATGCGGGCTGATGCGGGAGGTGGAGCGGAGAAAAGGAGAAAAAAGGAGAAATGGAGAAATGGAAAGCTCCTGCCCGCAGGGATGGGTTACGTGATCGCTGGAGCCAGCACCTTGTCCTGGGGCTGGCACCTTGAGCTGCCACCCCATGCGCTCCAAAAACAGGGTCACCCGTTTTTGGGGTGAGGCCAGGGCACACGGTGTGAGGCTTCTGTCCCATCCTATCCCATCCCATCATTTCCATCCCCTCCTATCCTATCCTATCCTATCCTATCCTATCCTATCCATCCTGTTCCATCCCATCCCATCCCTCCGATCCTATTCCATCCATCCCATCCCATCCCATCCCATCCCATCCCATCCCATCCCATCCCATCCCATCCCATCCCATCCATCTGATCCTATTCCATCCCATCCCATCCCATTCCATCCATCCCATCCCATCCCATCCCTCCAATCCTATTCCATCCATCCCATCCCATCCATATGATCCCACCCCATCCCATCCCATCCCATCCCTCCGATCCTATTCCGTCCATCCCATCCCATCCATATGATCACACCCCATCCCATCCCATCCCTCCGATCCTATTCCGTCCATCCCATCCATCTGATCCTATTCCATCCATCTCATCCCATCCATATGATCACACCCCATCCCATCCCATCCCTCCAATCCTATTCTACCCATCCCATCCCATCCCATCCATCTGATCCTATTCCATCCCATCCCATCCCATTCATCCCATCCCATTCCATTCATCCCATCCCATCCCATCCCTCCAATCCTATTCCATCCATCCCATCCCATCCCATCCATCTGATCCTATCCCATCCCATCCCATCCCATTCCATCCATCCCATCCCATCCCATCCATATGATCCCACCCCATCCCACCCTCTTTCCCTACAGACTGGCTCCGTAGGCTAGAAAGATTTAGGATTTTTAGCATTTCACCCCTTTCCCTGCTCCCACCACACACGTGTGTGTGCGTGTGCCCCCCCCTGGGGGCGTGGTGCTGAGCAGCGCCGTGCTTGCAGGTCGGGCGCTGCTGCGGCTCAACGGGGAGAAGCTGCAGCGCATGGGCATCGCTCACGAGGCGCAGCACCAGGAGGTCCTGCAGCAGGTCCTGCAGCTCCAGGTGCGCGAGGAGGTCCGAAACCTGCAGCTGCTCAGCCAAGGTAGGTTGAGAGGGGAGGGCAGGGAGGCGAACCCTGAGAGGTCGTGCCCCTCTGTGGGTGAAAAGGAGAGCGGTGGTGGCGAGAGCCACGGCCACCCAGCCACCGGCACGGTGCTGGTGCGAATCCAGCCCGTGCTGCAGCTGGGGTGAGCTGTGGTGAACAGGGAGAGGTTGTGGGGCTCAGGGACAGGTTGTGGCACATAGGACAGGTCCTGGAGCACAGGGACGGCTTGTGGAGCACAGGGATAGCTTGTGGCACACAGGGACAGGTTGTGGCACATAGGTCATGGAGCACAGGGACAGGTTATGGTGCACGGGGACAGGTCCTGGTGCACAGGGACAGGTTGCAATGCCCAGGGACAGGTCGTGGAGCACAGGGACAGGTTGTAGAGCACAGGGATAGCTTGTGGCACAGGAACAGGTCATAGAGCACAGGGAGAGGTTGTGGCACTAAGGGACAGGTTGTGGAGCACAGGGAGAGGTCACGGTGCACAGGGACAGGTCCTGGTGCACAGGGACAGGTTGTGACACATAGGGACAGGTCATGGTGCACAGGGCCAAGTTGTGACACACAGGGACAGGTCGTGGTACACAGGGAGAGGTCGTGGAGCGCAGGGACAGCTTGTGGCACACAGGGACAGGTTTTGGCAAATGGGTTTTGGAGCACAGGGACAGATTGTGGAACACAGGGAGAGGTCACGGTGCACAGGGACAGGTCATGGCACAGAGGGACAGGTTGCAATGCCCAGGGACAGGTCGTGGCACATGGGTCATGGTGCACAGGACAGGTTGTAGCACACAGGAACAGGACATGGTGCACAGGGACAGGTTGCAATGCCCAGGGACAGGTTTTGGCACGCAGGGACAGCTCGTGGCACACAAGGACACGTCATGGAGCACAGGGACAGCCGGTGGCACGCAGGGACAGGTTGCAGTGCACAGGGACAGGCCGTGGAGCACAGCACCAGTTCCCCGGGTGGCAACCGGCATAGAGAGGACGAGGCTCTCCAGGGCTGGCTCCCCCGTGCCACCCTGCAGGCTGTTTATTCCTTCCTCTCCCCTCCTTGTTCCAGCGTCTTTTGGAAATGTCTCCTAGCTGCTCCGTCTGTTTGGCAGATTGTACCAGCACTGTGAACCGAGCACCTCTGGGATGGACTGTGCACCGCAGATACGAGACCTGAACCGCGTGCTTGGAATACGAAGAGGCAGCTTCCGAGCCACTCCGGGGCTTCTCTCTTTCTTCTTCTCTCTTTCTTTTCTACGAACACATCGCTGCGCAGAGCTGGGCTGCTTCCTCCAGCAGACGAGGCTCCCAGCCAGAGGAAGAGGAGCAGAACAGCCCCGGGGATGGATGAACTCCTGCCCGTCTGAGCCTGACCCCTCGCAGGGGGAAATTGCGGAGAGAAGACGGCGACGAGCGGGGCTCAGCGGTGCCGACAGCCTGAGCACGGCCACCCCTGGGACAGATTGGAGCCACCCACGGGACGCTGAAACCTCGGGCACGTGAGTGGTGTCCCAGCACCTGGAGGCTCTCGGCACAGCTGGGGAGTGCTCCAGGCTCTGCCTGTGTCAATGCCTCGGAGCTTGTTTGGGGAGCTTTAGCTTTCTCCTCAGGCTGGGCTGTCTTCCAGTGGCCTAGGAGATAACGTCGGTAGCGAATAATGTGACCCCATCGGGCAAAAAAACGAGAAGCAGGGCAGAGTCACCAGCGCCTGGCTCCACTTTGTGAATTAAAGAGGAGCTGAGGCACCGAGGGCAGCAACCCAGGGGTTGGCACGCCGTGGCCGTGCTCCGGAGGACGCTGCGCCAGGAGCTCCCCGCATCCTTCTCCGTCCGTGTGCCCAGCCTCCCGTCCTCCGCTCCCAGGGTTTTATTTATTTCCCCCTCCAATTGCTGGCTGGGCTCCTTGCAGAGCTCTGCCTCCACAGGGCTTTTGCAAAAGCCTGGGGCTGGTGGCGGTGCCACTGATGCCAGCAGCATCCCGATAACCCGGCTGATGATTTTTGGGTCCCTGCCGAGCCGGCAGGCAGCACCCCAGAGCCACGGGGACTTGGCAGAGGTGGGTGCCCGGGAGCCAGTGGCCGCCGTGCACCGCCGCCTCCTGCTGTGTGAATAAAATCAGACTGGTGTTTTAGCGTGCTGGTCTCCTGGCTCGTCCCACGGTTTGACCCGTTCCCTGCTCGGAAGTGTCCCCGGCGCACCTGGCAGCAGATTTCCATGGAGGTGGACGAGCAGAAAAATTGCTGTTTGCTCAGGACTAGCAAAAATCGTGATGAAACCCAAAGGTTTTTGGTCTCCCTGCTGAAACCCCCAAGATAAATGTTCCTCAGGGTGCTCCAGGCACGTGGAGGTGCCCAAAGGGTGTGCAGGTGGCTGATGTCCATTCGTGTGCTGCCCTCGCTGCAGGCAGAGAGCCCCTGGACCCGTTTGCTGGCAGCCCCCCTGCCTCGGGGGCTCTGCTGCTCACAGCCCCTCGCCTCCCTGCGAGCACACAGCAATCTGAATTTCTTCAGCTGCTGCTGACCTTTTCAAAAATGCAGCCAAATTGGCTCCCCTCACCTCGCTAGGACTTCACCGGCAACAAAGCCGAGCGAGTTTATTGAATTTTAAGAAAAAGAAAGAAAACAATCGGGGGGGGAAAAAAAATAAAAATGATCTCTCCTGCAGCGGCGGGGCTGGTGCCAGCGCTCCTGGCCGTGGGCTGTGCCGAGCCGGCCGCGGTGCGCAGCAGAGCCCTGAGCAGGATGAGGCCCCATCACCTCCTGATGCATCCCCTGTTAAATCTCTGAGCCTGCTCAGAGCAGGGCTAACTAAAACCTGGGTGAGAAAACCCGTGGAGAAAAGCCAGCTCGATTTTTCCACCCTTTCCCTGCCCTGGCGGTGGGGAGCGGGGAGCGGAGGCAGCCGGCCGGTGGCACCGGGGTGGCCAACACTTGGTGACCGTCCCCATGGGGCCGGGTGCTCTGCCCCGGAGCAGCCCGTGGCTGCTGGGCTCCTGCTGCGGGCGAGCATCGTTAGAGGGAGATGCTGAGCTTTTTTGGGAGAGCTCCAGAGAGGCAAGGAGGAGAAATGGCTTCTCTCTCTCTGGGGGGCTGCTTCAGGCTGCGCTCGCGCAGCGGTTCGGTGGCAGTTTTGCAGTCAGGGGGCACAGAGCAGGGCTGCGGCTGTGTGGGGCCGCCCGTGACCCCCTGGAGCCCCCCAAGTCCATCCCCAAGGCCCCGCTGTCCCTTGCTGGGACCCCTGTTCCAGCTCCCTCTGCCACATCCACCCACTCCAAGCTGCGCTCCGGCTCCTTCTGGCTCCTCTCCTGCCACCAAGCGCAGGGACCCCATGGAGAACCCTCAGATACCGGGGTGCCCACCTCATTTCTGGGGTGCCGAGGGCAATATCTCTGCTTTTTTTCTGCACCTGCTGCAGCTGGAGCAGCCTGGATCTCACACGAGGAGGAAGAAGGAGGCAGGAACCCCACCAGCACCCGTGGCTGAGCGCAAAGCACGGCCCTCCTGCGGGGTCCCTATGGCCCACCGAGGGCTTCCTGCTGAGGACAGGGCTGGAGGAGCTGCAGGCAGGGCAAGGGGGTGCCCCGGCCCCCCCAGAAGCTGCCCTAATGGGGTGAGCGCCGGCTGAGCCTTCATCCCCACCAGGATGAGGATGGGGAGCGCGGAGCATCCCCTGAGCCGGCTTCGGACACGGGTCCTGCGCTGCGCAAGTGTCTGGCGCCACCTAATGCCCCCGGGTGGCCCAGGGAGCCGGGCTGGGATCTACAGGGACAAATTGGGGACACCCTGAGCCGGTGGGTGCTGCACCGGGAGCAGGGGCACGGGAGGGAGAAGGGTGCTCGGGCTGGGCGAGAAAAATGCCCTCGATTTATCTAACATTCATCTGCCACTGCTGCCCCAGGCGCTGCCCAAAACCAAGCAGCACCAGGCAATGAAACGTGGATTCGTAGGGCTCAGATTCGTGGGATATTAAAACCAGGCAACAATTAAAGGAGGCAGAGGATGGCAGCGAGCATAAATCAGCCCCGTGAAGCGGGCAGGGGGATGCGGTGGCCGGGCAGGGAACGGCCGCGGTCAGAGCGCACACGACCTGGATGCATCTGATTCACTTCTTCTGCTCTTGGCTGTTTGTTTTTTTTTTTTTTGTTTTATTTTATTTTGCAGGACAATGAGCTGTTGGCATAAAAAAATAACGGCCGGCTTTTTCTGCCCTTAAAAAAAAAAAAAAAGAAAAATCCAGCAATCCCTTCCCAGTGGCAGAGGCAGCTTGCAGATTGCGGCGAGGTTTTTCAAGCAAAGAAAAAAAAAAAAAAAAACAACACACAACCACAACACAGTTGCACACAGAAAATGCATGCCTAATTTGTCCAAGTAATTACTGAGCCTGGCTTGATGATACAGATACCTCCAGGTCTGAAACGCCGCTGATTGCTCCTCTGATTCAGGAAACGCTCCCCCGACAAGTGCATTCGTGCTTGGCTCCGGCGGCAGCCGTACATTTCCCTGGCTGCGCCGGGCTTTTGGGATGCGATTTGCTGACGGGTGTCAGCAGCTGCTGAAGGGCTCTGCTGAAAAAAAGGCCAGTTTGGATCCTTCCCTGGCAGGTTATGTGCTCACCCGAATTAGGAACGTGTTTTCCACCTGGTGGGTGGCTTTGGGACCGCCACCCGCACCGAACCATCGCCCTCCTGGTGCTCCCGGGCAGGTCTTTAGGAAGCTCCCTGTGCTGGAGACCTGTGGGCACCTGCACAAAGAAAATATCATGATCCTGGGCAGGGAGGAGAAGTCCCAGGTGCTGGTGGCATGTGGCACATCACCGGACCCCACAGCCCTGGGGCAGCAGTGGAGAAGGCAAACGGGGACACCGGGGTGGCCCATGAGGGCTGCGAGTGCGCTCAGCACCCCTAAAACACCTCAGGAAGGAGCCTGCAGGTGATTGTGAGGCCATTTAGGGACTGAGGCACAGCAAAACGGCTCCTCCAAGGATGCTGTGACACCCCCAAACCCCCGTCCCCATCCCAAAGCCCCGTTTCCCTCCCCAGAACCCATCCTGAGGCTCCACTCCCCATCCCCTGGCCGTGCCCGCGCTGCGCATCCAGGACTAATCAATCCTGAATCATTGCTAATGAACCTGGGAACGGCGTCGGGCTGGATCAGGTGCCACTCAGGGCGAGATGGATAATATAATTAAGATTTCCTCAAAGGTCCTGTCTTTCGTACCTTGTTAATTAAGCTGATGCAGGGCCCTCCATGCGGAATGCGTAATGAGAGGCTGCCGGAGACGGAGCTGGCTACGAGCAGGAGGTGACGCTGGCAGAAACGCGGCGCTGAGGACATTTTGGCAACCTCCCGGGGCTTTGGTTCCCCTGGCTGCTCCCTGCCAGGACGCTGCTGCCTCCTTTGCACCATTCAAGGGGTCGAGCACGGCACGAGGACACGGGCAGGGATGAGCCCGACCCCACCTGGAGCTGCAGGAGGAGGCTTAGCACCATTTGGCCTCCCAAGGGAGCAGCCAGAGCTCCCCTGTGCCCGGGGCAGGCAGGGACCAGGGGATGCTGCAGCTCCTCGCAGCCATCCCCACGGCCCGGGCACATTTTTGGTGCTTGCACTCCTGATGGTGACTTATGACAGTGAATTAATAGGCTCTTAATAAGGGTGACAGTTCCCGTAATTAGAATGTATCGGAGCGGGGATAATTGCTTCATTTCATAATTATTTTTTTTTTGCCCGTGTAACTTCCTTCGCTTTTAGGTTCTCATTTTCAGCTCCTAAATGACCACGGGGAACAATGCCCCCAAACTCTTCCAGGTGGCATCAGGCACTGAAGTGTTTCAGCTGGCCCGTTTTTGGAAAGTTTGGTGCTTGCTTTTGCCACAACATTTCCAGGCTCAGGTAAAAACCTCCAGACCCCCAACCTGAAATGAGGAGCTTCATTTCCCATCCGTTGTTGGGTTTATTTCAAACCGGGGGGCTTCTTCACACCTCGCAGCTCCATCCCCAAACCCACTGTCCCCATCCTGCCCCGCTGTTCCGGGGGGCAGCCCCCGTACCCGACCCCCCGGCTTGGGGCAGACTCCCCACCAAGCCAATAAGGCTGTGTAAATAATTAATAATGAAATAATTAATAGCAGCAAGCAGAGCTGTAGGGTTTTTGGGAGCATCATTCCTCCTCAGGCGGGATCCTTCTCCCCGTTAACCTCCCCTCTTTGCACCGCAGCCATTTTCCTTCCTCGCCGTATCTGAAATTAAATCTGCTCGGATTTTCTCTCGCTCTTTTTTTTTTTTTTTCCTTTTGCTTATATTTGCTGGATGTATTCAAGCACGGGAGGAGAAGAGAAAAAAAAAAAAAAAAAAAAAAAAAAGCCATCAGCATAATTCATAGCTCGCGCAGCCATCTCGGCTCGGGGGCTCCCGTTTCCAATCAGAGGCCCACGCTGCGCAGCCAGCGCCTTGCAGAAGGAGGCTGGGGATGGCCCGGATGCTGCCTCGCCAGCCCCCAGCCATCCTCCCTTTGTTCTGGGATCGCTCTGCTCCAGCCAAAAAGCAGCCCGGCCTCTGCCGTGGGTAGCAGAGAGGAGAGAGGGGCTGTAGGGTTTTGCTCTGAGGGTAGCGGGGAGGGGGTTTGCACGCGCTGTGCCCGGCAGCAGCGGTTTGGGGACGGCTCTGGGAAACATGGGTGTCCCCAAAATGCACCCAGGCACCGCGGTTGTGCCCTTCCCCTCACCTCGTCCTGCCCTGCTCAGCAAAATCCAAGCTCCCAGTCCCTCCCAGTCGCTCCCAGTCCCATCCCTGTGCATCCCAGTGCCCCGTCGGAGCTGAGGCTGGTGCTGGCTGGCGGCACGGGCGCACGTCCTGGCACCGGGCTCCTTCTCCCTGCTCTTGCAGCTTTCTGCATGCGTTTCGGCCATGCCCCAAGAGTGGTGGCAGATGAAAGTAGCTCTGTAAATCCAGTGCCAGTTTGATTCCGCAGATTTAATGGTCTGGAGGGCGCTGCTGCAGCCTGTTGGTGTCACCACGCTTTGAAGCCACACACCGGGGCAGTGCCCGCTCACCAGCTGACCCCATTCAGGTTGTGGGGACAGACAGCTGGCTTCAGGGACAAACAGCACCGGGTCCCCGACTGCCTCAACACCTGGGGAGGACCCGCATCCAAAACCCACCGATTTCTGAACTATTTCCTACCTTTCATCTGAGAGGGGAGCTTGCACATTTTAATCCGCTGGCCAGGTGCCGTTCGGGTCAGCCTGACCCCTGCTGAGCCCCAGGATGGGATTTTTTTGGGGGGGTTCACCCTGCTTGTTTGTTCCCTGCCACCAACGGGACCGGCACCCTGTGCTCCCTGCCCGGCCATGCGAGCAGTGTGGGAAGTGCACGAAGGATGGCAGCAGCTCGCTGCACTGCTGCTCCGCCACCGCTGCTCCCGCTGCTCCTGTGCCGGGACCGGGGCTGCTCCAGGAGCATCTGAGCCCCCTGGATTTGTCCCGATGAGGATGTCAGCCTCTTGGTGACATGTGGATGAAATGTGTCGCTGTTCTGGTGGCCCTGCAGCCAGTCCCAGTTTGGTGAAAGCTGGCTGAGGTCACCAAACCATCAGGCCAGTGGTGGCAGGAGGGCTGTCCTCGCGTCCTGCGCCCCAGCCCTTACAGATCCAGCAAACGGAGAGAGGAGGGGACCCACACGTGTCTGGGAACAAATCCTCCCTCTGACGGAGGATGAGGCCGTGCCCAGCCCCAGCAGGAGCCGCCTGGAGCTTCCCCTGCCCTCCGGAGAGGGCAGAGCCCCCCCTGCCCACCCCACTGCTGCCGCCCTCATCCTCAGCTCAGCCCCACCAACGGAGCAGTCCCAGCGGAGCAAGACCTGAAACGAAAAGGCCTCTGCACAAATATTTATCCGATCCTTGCTCTGTAATTGCTTTCCCCCCCCCCCCCCCTCCTTTCCTCTTCCTGGGGTCCGTATCAATTTAATTTCCATGCTTGCCGGCTTTGACTGCTTCATCCCCCACCGCCCAACACCTTCACCCGATGGCCTCCCCTCCACCTCCTCCTGCTTTGTGGGGTGGAAACGGAGAGCTGCAGGGCAGAGCATGGGGGACACCCGTGGGGAACCCATGGGGGTCCCCACGGGTGTCCCCCCCACACCCCCACGCCATCGGCGTGAGCTCCCCTCTGCAAACTGCCCCTTTGGCAGCACCACAGCTCAGGAAGAAGCGCGATGGTTTCTCTCCAGCATGCCAAGGATGGCAGCGCTCATCCTCCCATCCTCCTGCTCTTCCTCCTCCTCCTCCTCCTCCTTTTCCTTCTCCTCCTCCTCCTCCTCCTCGTCTCCCCTGCCCTTCCCAGCCGGGCTCTCCCACACCGGCGCGACCCCGTGCGTGGAAAGCACCACAAAGCACTTCGCATCTGTTCCGCATTTGCTGTTCTTTTCAAGTTCGTTCCTTGGCCCCCTCCCCTCCTCTCAGCGGGGCCTGAAAATAGGAACTGTGGTCACCTTCCTGCTGCATTATTCAGGAGTTTCTGTACCTCGACCAGCCGCAGCTGGCCGCTCTCCAAGCCCATCCACAACCTCCGAGGCCGCCGGGCTCCCCAGCCTCTCCCTCTCACCCCTACCCCACACCTTGTGCCGTAAAACCACGCTTTGCAAACGCAGAAAACGAGCAGAAAATGAGCGCAGCCTTCAGCAGGAGCATCGTGGCGGGGACAGGGACAGGGACAGGGACGAGGAGCCCCTTCCAAGCTCGTTTTTGCTGTCCTTTGGCTCTGGGGCTGCAGCTCGGCACGCTCAGCAGGAGCACGTGCGGGATGCGCTCAAGGGCATCCAGGAGCACTTTGAAGCCGCACAACGAGGAGATGTTGAACGTGTTCGGGATGCTCCCGGGTCCCCCCGGGCACATGAAGGCTCTTGCCAGCCCCGCTGCAGGTTAATAGCTCTGCTCGCAGGCAGGCCGCCGGCTGGGAAGCGGAGCTCCCTCGGATGCGCCGCGTTTCGTACAAAGGAGGTGGGCTGTGCCTTTCCCTCCCACCCCGCTGCTCACCCTCTGCTCCGCTGATAATAATACCTAGCAATTACACAAAGCTTTACATGCTCTCCGCAGACATTAATTAAGCTCTTTCCCCTCAACGGAGACAAAGAGGGGAACCGGGGGGGGGGGGGGGGGGGGGAAATCCCAGCTTGCGTTTTAGTGCTGCGATGGTGCGGTGCGGCCGGACCCTGCTCGCACAGGCTGGTGTGTGGCGGTGGCACCGAGGAGCCGCATCCCTAAAGGGGTTTGGATCTGTTATGGGACCACGCCACGGTGCCAGGGACAGCAGGAGAGATGTGCTTGGGAGCAGAGATCAGCTGCAAGGTGCTCGTCACCTTCCCCACGAGCTGGGGATGGCTTCGTGGGGTCCCTGCTCCATAACAACAGCGCTGGGAAATCCCCGTCCTGCCGGGCAGAGCGGTGTTTTGCAGCCTTTTGAACCCAAAAACTGCGGCTGCTCGCCCACGTGGCCTTGGGGACAGGGGAAATGGAGCAGGAACGGAGCCAGGAGCCTCGTCATGTGCTGCTGGGCCGTGCCCGGAGCTGTCTCGGTGATGTGTGACGGGCACGGGACGGCTGGGGGCAGCCCTGGAAATGATGGACACACCGGGCTTCAACCCCACGTGGCGAAATTTGTCGGATTTCCCCCCGATTTGTGGGCAGACACCGAGACGGCGGCACTGCCACCAGCCCCGTGGGGTGACACGGAGCTGGGAAAGCTTCGTGTGCCGGGGGCTGTGTGGGGTGGGTGCTTAAAGCCTTGGGCCGTGGGGACGTTTCGATGTAGGGCTATGGTTTGGTGGAGGACTGTTGGTGTTAGGACAGAGGTTGGACTCGATGATTTTGGGGTCTCTTCCAACCTCGAAATTCGGTGTGATTCTGTGAGACGCTCAGCGGCACCGCTCCCACAACCCAAACCAGTTTCTAACTGGGATGGTCCCAGTGGGTGTGCTGGGTGTGTGACAACACATTTCGGGCCTCCAGCACCAACTTTGGCCATAAAAACGGGACCGGGAGAGGCCGTGTCCCCCTGAGGGGTCAGTCCCAGACCCCTTTGGCGGTGCCAGCCCCCACCACAGGCACTCGAGGCGCACCCTCGGGTGCCCCCCCCCACCCACCGGGAGGCACCGGGGGGCACCGTGAGGAGGCCTCAGAGGGCCTGGAAGCCTCCTCGCCCCCTGAGGGCACCGGGACAGCACCGGGGCCTCCTTTTTCCCCCCTTCGGGGTGTCCCGGAGCCGTGAGGGGGGCGCTCCCCGGGGCCCGCCCTACCGGGGCGGCGCCGCCACCACCACCGCCACCGCCACCCTCTCCCGCCCCGTGGCCGCGGCCCGGTGGCGGAGCCAAACGAGAAACCGGGGATCGAAACCGGGGGCTGGGGAAAAGCGCATGAGCCGCGGAGGAGCTGTGAGGGGCGGTGAGGGGCGGCGGCGGCGGGCGGGGAGCTCGGCACCGGAGCTCGGCTCCGCGGCTGGCGGCTCGCCGGGGAGCCCCGCAGCCGAAGGGGCGGCCGCCGAGGTAAGCACCGAAGGCCCGGCTTCGGCTTCACGGTTGGGCTCCCGGCTTCACGGTGCAGCTCCGGTTCCCGGCTCCGGTGCGGCCAAAGCTCGGCTCCGGTGCGGGGATCCCCGGTTCCAGCCCCCCCCCCCCCCCCCCTCCTCCCGCCGCAGCCCCGTCGCCATTTTGCCTCTCGCTTCCCCTGGCGGGGAGCGCGGCTCGGCCCCGCTTTTGGGGCCGCTTTTTAGGGTCCCCCCCGGTCCCCAAAGCCCTCAGGGTGGGCACCGAAGGGGGAGGTGGCCCCTAGGGGACCGGGGGGGTGAAGGGGATGAGGGGGGGGGGTGGGATATGGGGGGGGTGCGACGGGGTGGGATGGGGATGGGGCAGGGGGTGCTGAGGGGACGGGGAGGGGGTGACGGGGTGACAGGGGGATGGGGTGGCAGGAGGAGGGGGGACAAGGGGTGGGGAGGGGACAGGAGGGTGGCATCGGCCTCAGGGGGTGAAAGGTGGTGGCACAGAGGGGTGACAGGCGACGGGGCAGCTCAGAGAGGTGACAACAGGGGACAGGACAACCCAGTGAGGTGACAAGGGACAGGACAACAGGGGACAGGGGACAGGACAGCCCAACGAGGTGACAACAAGGGACAGGACAGCCCAGAGAAGTGACAACAGGAGACAGGACAGCCTAGTGAGGTGACAAGGGGACACGACAGCCCATCGAGGTGACAACAAGGGACAGGACAGCCCAGCGAGGTGACAAGGGACAGGACAGTCCAGTGAGGTGACAACAGGGGACAGGACAGCCCAACGAGGGGACAGGACAGCCCAGAGAAGTGACAACAAGGGACAGGACAGCCCAGTGAGGTGACAAGGGACAGGACAGCCCAGCGGGGTCACAACAGGGGACAGGACAGCCCAACGGGGTGACAAGGGGACAGGACAGCCCAGTGAGGTGACAGCACCCGTGTCCTCTCACTCCGAGGATGCCCAGAGCACGAGGACAGCCCGGTCACCGCCACGGCCACCCGCTGCCCCTCCATCACCCTGTCCCCACGTCCCCTGCTTGTCACCGGGGCAGGGTGGTGGCTCCATCCAGGCTTTGAGGCCGAGCAGATTTGGGGACGGAGCCGCTGCTGCTCATTGTCTGCTGTTGTTTTTTTTTTTGTGTGTGGTTTTTATTTATTTTTTTATGTGTGTGCGCGCTTTCCCCATTTGCTTTTGTGCCCGAGGATGGGCGAGGGGGGGAGGGACTTGCTGAATGTGTTCCCAACAGAAACTTTAAACCATCAAAAAAAGCTGCGCCCACGCCCAAAAAGAGGCGCTTTGCCTGAAACGCTTTTCAACCTTTCTGCTGCTTTTTCCTCGGGGGGCTGAAGGACCCCGAGGGGGACGTCCCCTGATGCTGCTGAGGTCCGTGGAGGTGTCGGGGAGGCAGGGACACGCGTGGCTCTGTCCCAAAATAGCTCTTGGCCCCACAAAGCAGGGGCTGGGGCTGTGTCACCCAGCGGGTGCCTCCCTTTTGGGAAACCTCCCATGCTGATGGTGATTCCCTTCCCTTCCAAGGAAGTTTCCCCCAGCGTTTCCTCGTCTTTTCCCCACCAGAAAGTTTCTTGGTGCAGCCTGAGGTCAGCGAGCTCCCTGTGGTGACCGTCACCTCGCTGCCTCTCTGCCCTCTCTTGATTTTTTGGCACCGCCTGCATCTCTCTGGGCCATCCAAAACCATTGATTAATTATTGATGATAAGCGGAGCGCATCGACTGGTGACTTCTCCCCCTTGTAGGGGTGCGCTGAGGCCGGGGGCATCGCAGCATCCCTTGCTGCCTGTGCCGGGCAGGTATTTTTGTGTGCATTTCCTTCCTCATCTCCAGTTTGTGCCGAATTTCCCAGCACGGGAAGTCCCCAGCACGGGGACGCTGCTGTCCCCGCTGAAGCCCAGCAGAGGAGCGTGCGTGGGACGGGTTCCCAAACTTCCCTCCTCACCCTCCAGGCCCACGTGCTTCCTCCCCGTTAGCTCGTGAGGCTCTGCAGCTTTCCTCCTTGCTCATCCCGTGCTGGCTCTTACCTTGGCACTGTGTTTTTTGTTTTTTTTTTTTCCCCGGAGCTGGAGTGGGGATGCTTAAAAAACATCTGCAGCTCAGGGTGTCCTCGGCTGCTGTGGGGCCAGCCCCAGCCTTCCCTGTGCGCCCTCGCAGTCAGACCCGCCGGGATCTGTTCCCCCCGTCACCAGCTGCAAAAGGGTTTTCACCAAAACGCAAGGAAATCGCGGCAAATCTCAGCGTGCCTTCCTCAAAACCCAGTGAGAAGTTTGGACGTGGTGGGAAACAATGGGGCTGATTTCTGCTCTCCGCCTCTGGGGCAATTCCTCCGGGAGCCCTGGGGTTGTGGCGGTGGCCAGGGAGCGGAGCTGGACCCTCGCCGAGTGGGGTTTTTATTTACTTTTATTTTACTTGTAGTCAAAAATAAGAAGGGGAGGAAAAAATAAAAGAAGTTTAAAACCCCTGAAGCTGGCCAGAAAGGACCCCTTTGAGGGGACAGGGAGGAAGGATGAGCTGTGGGATCAGGGCACGCAGCCTGGATGCGAGCAGGACGTCGGTGCCGTGGACCACAGCGGGGTTTTCCCCGAGATTCGTCCTTCTTCAGCTTCCTTTTAGCTTGGATCTCACAAATCTTTTATTTCTGCGAGCGAGGAATTTTATTTCTCGACTGCGAGGATTGCCTGGGGGTGGCAGGAGGTGGCCGGGGAGGACGGGGACAGGTTTGTCCCCGGCGGCGCGCACGTGGAGGAGCTGTTTTGGGGAGGGAGCCGCAGCTCCCACCCAACCAAAACGAGCTGAATAAATGATTCCTGTGTGCAGGAATCCAGAGAACCTGTTGCCAAGGTTCTCGTTTGATCTGCTTCACCTCTGGGCCCGTGCAAAGCACCAGATATTTGTCACCGGCCGTGCACGTGCCAGGAGGGGTTGGCAGCTCGTCCCCAAGCATCTGGTCCGCACGCGAGGCGCAGTTCCCTTTTTCCAGCATGGAAATGAAGCGAGCAGGGCTCTGTGGGAGGGACTGGGGGGGTGACAAGTCAAATCCGTGCGTGAAAAAACCTGCGCGTGGGGGGAGAGAGGCGTGAAGGAAAGGTGAAGAAGGCGGCAGCTGGCGCTTCCCTCAGCCACACTGCCGGCGTCTGGCTGAGCACCGGCGGCGATTTCCCAGCTCCAGGGCGTGAAGATGGGCCCAGGAATGAAGAAACAAGAATGAATGAAGCGCTGTGGGACTAAAATCTGTCCTCACTCTGTCTGGAGCCTCGTTGTGCCCCCGTTAACCAGAGCACGGCAGGGTTTGGGCTCGATGTCTCGGGGTGCTTGAGATGAGCTCGGGCGAGAAGCGGCCACTCCACGGCCTTCATCCCAGCACGGCTGGAGTCGAGGGGTGTCCTGCTGCCTGCTGCCCTTGGGAGCAAGCTTGGGCCTTCTGCGATAATTTCTGATGTTCATTATTTCTAGAGAAGCCAAATTGAATTATTAATACGGAAAATTTAGATAACATTAACAATCCTCGGTTTATAACAGTTTCCCATTAATAAGGAAAATTGGAAATTTATCACTACATCTGCTCATTAAAACTCACTATTTTTTTTTATTTTTTTTTTGCCTTTTGGTGTCTTCAGTGAAAGCACAGAAATAAACGAGGAGGAAAAGCCATTTATTCGCTGCTTCCCCGGACGGAGCCAGCCCATAATTTTTAATAAAATCTTTGCTGTTGCACGCGGAGAGGGAAGCAGCCGATAATGAAAGCAGGTTCTCGACCATGTCTGTGGCTTTGCTCAGCCGTGGAACGAATACTCAGAAACCTGCCCCGCTTCTCCCCTTGGTGGGAACGCTCCAGCTGTGGGACACTTTTCCTAATTTCCCTCCCTGCCTCCTTTCCAGCAGCTCCCCTCGCCTTTCGCACGTGTCGTTCGCGGCGCCGAGGGGCTGTGCATGAATCCTAACCCGTCCCTTGCTCGTTGCAGAGATGGCGGATCCCTACACCTGCAAAGGGGGAAGGAAAACAGCAGGCTCCAACAAACCCGCTGCCAGCAAGGAAAGCAGGACGGACACGAGGATAAACCCCCCGGCGGAGCTCCCCAAGCTCGGTAAGGACCCAGCCTTTATTTCCACAGGGCGGAGGGGACGGGCTCTCCCTTTAGAGGTCTCTCCCTTTAGAGATCTCTCCCTTTAGAGGTCTTTCCCTCTAAAGGAACCCGTGCCTGTCTAACGAGCCGGGTGTCTCGCCCTCTATTTGTCACATCGGGGAGCTGAGTGCTACATGAAAAGGCTGGAAAGGCTTGAAAGGAGCACAGCCCATCTGCTGCCCCCCGTGTCGCGCCCCCCAGGAGGGAGCTCGCCGCCGCACGAGCCCTGGGGGACCCTCGTGCTAAGGGCTGTCGCGCTGATGGATGGCTGATTGCTCTATCCTGGAATCCCAGAGCCCGAGGAGATTTTTCTCCTGTCTGTTTCCGCTGGGTAAATCCGCTCTGTGATGCTGAGAGGCTCTCAGAGCTCCTGAACGTCGCGGGGTGCAGCTTCAGGGCGCAATGTGCCAGGGCGAATTTGGCTCAGCACAGGCTGGGGAGGAAGGAGCCTCTCCTGCGGTTGCTTTGCTGACCCCATGGACACAGCGTGGCCAGGGCAGGGCAGGGAGTGCACTTTCTGTGCTGTGCTTTCGGTCTTGCTCCAAAAAAACCCTAAATCTCCTGGTGAGCCATTCCCAATCCCCGTTTTTAAAGAGCGCGCCGTTCCCACCTTGCTGGCACAGCACAACCCACTGCAGGGGGACACAGCCACGGTGCCAGCCCTGAAAATACCCTAAAAATCAGGTTTATGCCTCTTAGGAGTGCCTGGAAAGGCCGGGATTCAGCAGCCAGCATGCTGTGGTGCCTGCTGCATGCCAGCACGGCGCACCGTGGCACACCACGGCTCACCACAGCGACCGCAGGCATCGTGCTGGAAAAGGAGAAGCGTTTTCTGTTCCTCCTGCTTGCTCTCCCTGCCTGCCCTCGCTGACCCCAGCCAGCAGCTGATCGCTGAGGGCACTGGGAGGTGCCTTGCCTGGAAGCTGTCATGAACTTGTCTATCTTGAAGCATCCCCAAAAGTTTTGAGACTTGGGGAAGGTGTTAAAAGGAGAGGAGAGCCTGAGAGATCTGTGGCCGCAGGCGTGCCAAGCTTCTGGATGGGCGCGTGCTCTTCCTGCTGCTCTGGGATCTTTTGAATTCAGGCTAGTTTGAAGCATTTAAGAGAGAAAGCAGGAAAAAAAAGGGGAGGAATAGCAGGGAGCAGCAGTGCTGGGAGCCACCTCGTGCAGGCCTTCATGGCTAGCGGAGTTCCCAGGGGGTGCAGGAGCTCCAAACGATGCCTTCACGGCTCTCAAAGCGAAGCGAACCAGCTGGCCTGACTTCACAGGGCTGGAAAGAAATGAGGAAATTGTCTTGCTTTGCCATTTTACCCCTGGCTGCTGGGGCAGGAGGCGTGAAAAAAAAAGGAGAGAGTGGATGTTTTTGGCAGCGCCTCTTTAGGTAACTGGACGGCTTTGTGTTTAATCTCTCTCACTTGTTCAGAAATCCTGGGCTGGCTTCTGAGTGCAGCCAGCCACAGGCTCGGAGCCGAGCTGCGGTTCCTCGGGAGATTTGGGGGGGATTGCCGGCTCGGCTTCCAACCCCTTTTAATCTGATTCTTGCCAGGAAAGCCCTCCCAGATCTCGGTGTGAATGTTCTGCATGGCTCAGAGCTCTGGGTTAGCCCTCAGCCCTCAGCCTCAGGAGCTTTGCAGCAGCTCCTCTGCTTCCAGCTGCCCCCTCCTCCTGTGAGCGCTCGCTGCGTGCACCCAGAGGAGGAGTTTGCTGCCACCAGGCACTTGTCATTCCCCTCAGTCATTGCTTTTGCTTCTCCCTTTCGAGCTGTGCCAACGAGAGCTTGTGCAGGCGGATTTGTGCATGCCCCAGGATGAGCCAGGGTTAAAAACGTGGCCCAGGAACCGGTGCCCTTCCCTTGGCCAGGGTGGTGGCTTTGGCACGGCTGCAGCCAAGCCACGAACCAAGCCAGAAGACCTGGCAGAAAACTGCCAGTGCTATTCCCTGCACTCCCCTCCCCTCAGCTCCGCTGCCTGACCTGTATTTTCAGAAATTGCCCTGATTTGGAAAGTTTCTCCTAGCGATTGTTAGGCTGGGGAATCAGAGCACGACGGAGGGACCGGGCGGCGCGCAGCACCCACGGTGCCGGCACCACGAACGCTGCCAGATCCCAAGGGCAGCAAACAGCACGATGGAAATAATGAAAGCAGCAGATTGCTGAGGTTGGCAGCCCTCTGCAAGCCTCCAGGGAAGGCTCCTTGTGGCCAAACTGGGCTCGCAGGGACCCGGCGTGGTGGCCGTGGTGGCTGGGCGTGCTCACCGCCCCGGCGTGGGGCTGCACCCAAGGGAGCAGGTGAAAATCCTGCAAGACCCAAGCGGCCAGCAGAGCAAGAGCTGCAGGTGAGGTAGGAAGCGTTCGGCACCTGCCAGAGCTCTCCTGAGCCTGGTGGGGTTGTGAGCGGGCTGCCAGGTCTCTGGTGATGGAGACGAACCCGAGCATGTCTTTGGGGTGCCTGGAAATCGTCCCAATAAACAGATCCCGTGCCCGAAAATGCTTTTGTGCAAAAGCAGCGTGAGTAAACATGGCAAAAAGGCCCGGCTGCTGGCTCCGAGCAGGCTGTGCTGGGTTTTATGGGGCCACGTTTCCATCTGTAGGATCCCCCGGCAAAAGGTCCGGGGGATTTCTGTGCCCAGCCCCTGCCCCAAACGGATTTCTTTTGCTAAGGAAGGCTTTCTTCCGACCCCAGTGGAAGTGTGGTTTTCCAAAGCAAGCCCCAGCTGTGCTGCAACTGCTCCGCTTTGCTTCTGCGAATAAAAGGAGAGGGGTCAAAAAAAAACAACCAAAAAACAGGAGAAGCTGGGCACAGCCCATACGGGTGCCTGCAGGTACCAGGCTGTGCGCCGAGCCGTGGGGAAGCTGCAATCCCCTTCCCGAGGGGAATCTGCACCCCCGGCAGGGCAGCCTGGGGCTGGGGCAGCGGGTGACGAGCGCCGTGTCTGTTTGCAGGAAATGCAACCAGTGACAAAACCGAGGGCAAGAAGAAAGGACGACCCAAGGCGGAGAACCAGGCGCTGAAGGACATCCCGGTAAGACCTCGCGCTCCCTGGCTCCGGATCCGACCCCAGCCCCTGGTTTGCTCCCCGAAGCTTGCTGCACCACTCACCCCAGTCAGCCCCACTCTTCAGAGCAGTATTTTCCTCAGCTCAGCAAGATCTCGGCTCTTCTGTCCCCTCCGTGGGGGTGCACGGCATCACCGAGCACCCCACAAAACCCTGGTGGGGATCAGGACCCTCCACAAACCTCCCTTTCCCCGTGTCGTTCCCAGATAAGCTCTCGCAGCCGCCTCGGGTTTGGCTGATGATTAGAGAGCACAAGGGGCTGGTTGATTTATTCCCCCGAGAATTGTGCAGTTTAATTTCCAGCGTGGACAACGCGCCGAGCAGTTTGTCAGGAGAGCGTGGGCACGGGGTGGGAGGGGGGGGGTGATTTACCGACCGGATGAAATGTGGGGTGGTTAAATCACCCGGGCGGCTTCTGGCCTGATTTATTCCCCAGCGTGGCTGGGAGCAAGGTAAATGCTCAGGAGGAACTAACAGCCTGCAGAAAACGCAGCTCTGGGTGGTGGGCAGGGGGCTGCGGGTGGGCAGAGGTCCCGCGTGTGACCCCAGCCCTCCGGACACAGCCAGGGAACGGGAAACTTCTCGCTCAGCCACATTTCTCTTCTCTCCTTCCCAGCTCCCCCTGATGAACCAGTGGAAGGACGAATTCAAAGCCCACTCCAGGGTGAAATGCCCCAACTCCGGCTGCTGGCTGGAGTTCCCCAGCATTTACGGCTTGAAGTACCACTACCAGCGCTGCCAAGGGGTAAGGAGACCTGAGGGCTGCGTGTCCCTCCTGGCGGCCAACTTTTCCATTCCTGCCTGCAGGTAAAGCTCCTCTCGGGCTGCAAACCCCAGGAGAAACCTGAAATGAAGACAGGGAGGGCACAAACGGGTTGGGGACGGTGTGAGGTGCACGCAGCGGGGACCAAGGGCCCTGCAGCACAGCAGGACCTGGAGCCTGGAGGGAGTTTGGACCATCGGGGAGGGTTGGGACGCCCTGCACCAGAAAAATCCTGGCCCTTTTGTTGCCTAACACCTCTGCCTGCCTGTTTCTCCTTGCCCTGCCCAGGGTGCGATCTCGGAGAAGCTGACGTACTCGTGCTCGTACTGCGAAGCCGCCTTCACCTCCAAAACCCAGCTAGAAAAGCATCGCCTCTGGAATCACCTGGACCGGCCAGTGCCGAGCAGCAAAACAGAAAACAAAGTGCAGAAGGCCCTCGGGAAGAGCGGCGGCAAGAAAAGGTAGCAGGCTGCGGCCGGGCTGCGTGGTGGTGGCACCCGGCCGGCTGGGAGCCGGGAGGAGGGCGGCGTCCCCACCTCCATACCCACCATCCGGGCCAGGGAGTGGGGGAGAGGTGTCAGGACATCTTGCCTTTCAAGCCCTCTTTAAACGAGCCCTCTGTGCTTTGCCCTAGAGCTGCTGAGAGTTCAGCTTGCCCCACCATCCATCCCAAACAGGCAAAGACGGAAAAAGCCGTGGCCCAGGAGCACGCCGAGAACGGCGAGTGCCCGGCGGAGAGCCGCGAGAGCAAGGAGTTTCAGATCGCGGCGGCCGAGGCGATCGCGGCTGCCACCCCCACGGCCAAATCCTCCAGCGGCAAGGACGCCGGGCAGCAGGGGGGCAGCCAGGCCTCGCTGCAGGAGGAAGACCCCGAGAGGATGAAGCACAGTAAGATTAGAGCCCGGGGCTGTGCTGGGTCGGGAAGCCGGGAAGGGTTGGGGTTCTGCTCCGGTGAACGCTGCCGAAGCTTTTCTCTCTCAAGCCTTTTTTCCACATCCTGAGAATTTGCCCCCATGGGTTCTTGCAGCGCTGAGTTCTACTGGGAGTTAAAATAAAAAAAAAAAGGTTGCAGCTGTGGCAGGGATATTTCCATAGGGCCCCTCGGCTGGAAATGGGTTGAATTACCTGCAGCACGGCACGCTGCTCTGTCAGCTCATCCGTCCTGAGCCGGGGTGATTGGCAAACACATTTTCCTTCCCTATGGGGAGTGAGGAGTCTCCGTTAGCACTGCCTGGGCCCTGCTTATCCATCAGAGCATGGGTTTACACTGCTTGCAGCTCCAAAGTGAACCAGCGACAAATACCTTAGCTCGTGAGGCTGGGGAAACCATGAAGCTCTTGGCACCGGGACTGCTGAAAAGCACGCAGCAGTATGGGTATTTAACCAAATCTCTCTCTCTGTTTCTCTCTTTTGAGTCAGGAAGGAAACAGAAAACTCCTAAGAAGTTTACCGGGGAGCAGCCATCCATCTCGGGGACGTTTGGACTGAAAGGTAACGCGGGATGGCCGCGGGCAGCTGTAGGGTCGTAATTTCTCCCTGCCACACTTCAGGCAAGCCCCTTCCCCGAGAGCCCTCCCTGTGGTGGAGGTAACGTGGGAGCCCCCTGGGCCACAGGAACCTCTCTCTGGAGGATTTGGTGCCTCGTGGAGATGACTTTAGGAAAATGCCATCATCCCACAGGCCGGCCCAAACTGTGGGCACACTAAAGCCAGGTGGATAAAGGTGTCGAAAGGGAACTGCGGGGCAGTAGCACTGCTGGCACTGATCACAACCCCGTCTGCTCTGCTCAGGAGCCCGGTCCTGGAGAATGAGGAAAGAGGGGGAAGGACCCGGTAAAGGCCATAACACAAAAAGAATGAGTTTTTTACACCAGGGAGCCATGAGACAGGCAAACGCTGGCCTGGGATGCCACGGTATTTCCCGTGGAGCTGCGAGGGATTTCTGCTGCTTAGGGAGGCTGGGTGACGCATCCGTCCCTCAGACTGTCTCAGAGCTGGTCGCCCACATGACAGAAAATTAATTCGGGGGGGAAGAGCCCTGTTCCCGGGGTGTTTGCTGAGAGGAGGCTCGGGAGCTGGCTGCTTCAGCCTGGCGGAGCTGTGTGGGACCGTGGCCACGCTCCCTCTGCACACCCAGCAGGGTGTGGAGGGAGGAAACCTGCAGCACCCCAGCGTGAGAGCAACTGGATTCGTGCTGAAATTTGTTCAACTGGGGGAATTAAACATGGGCTTCCAGGCGCTGGAGGAGGCAGCACCTTCCAGTACAAGTCCTGGGGGAGAGGCACTGGTGGCTCTGAAGGAATTAAACACGCTCACCAGAGAGCAGACAGGATGTGGGCGCTGCGATTTCCTGGCCTCTGCCTCCTGGGAAGTCTGGGGTCATTTCCCTTAACTTCCCCACAGGGGCAGACTGAAATATCTGCTGCGGGTTCCTCGTGAATAAGCTGGTCCCCCCACGACCTTCTGCCTCGAACAGAGTGAGACAGAGCTGGCATTTGCCTGCGTCCCCTGGTTGAATGTGCAGCTTGTAACACCACGAGGCAGTCGTTCCCTGAAGAACCACCACACAGGGATGCCACCAGTGTCACAGGATGCTGTCTGTGTGTGCACAGAGAGCTCTGCTTTCAAATCCCTCTCCCAGCCCATCACTTCCCAGCCTCTCTGCTTTGCTGGTGGCTCAAGAATGGTCACCAGCAGCCCAGGGGGTTCCTCTTCCCTGGTCACCTTCCCTCTCTTTCTGTCCTTCCTCACCTCCCCAGCAGCCAGCAGGACGGGGAGAGGCCTGCATCCATCATGACGGCTGTGCACAGAGCCCTTGTGGGATGAGACCTTGTGGGATCTGGTGTCTGGGATCCCAGTTTGCCCAGTTTTCTACGAGGGATCCCTGCTGAATGCAGATTGGTCTGATGGTATTGAATCACACGCTGAATAAGCATCCCTTCTTTCTTCAGGTCTTGTCAAAGCAGAGGACAAGGCAAAAGCCCATCGAGCCAAGAAGCTGGAGGGGAGCACCAACGTGGAGGAGCTGAAAAAGAAAACTCCAGGAGCTGGTGTGAAGAAGGAAGCAGCTGCACATCTACCAGCAGGTAGGGCTGGGGGAGGCAGATGGGAGGCAGCAGCTCTGCCTGCAGCCTGGCTGCTCCCTGCCTCGGTCCTGTTCTCTGTGCTGAGCCTGCACGAGCCCCACTTCCACGGTTTGTGGAAGCAGGAGCTGAAAACAGCACAAGAAATAGATGCAAGCAGCTCCTTCCCTTTTTGAGGTGCTGCATAAAAACATTGCTGACCGTAAAACGTTGCTGCAGTCACAGCTGACATCCTGAAAGGGGTACCCCAGCTCTGCTTCACCGTGAGGACAGATCAGCTTCCTGCAAGTGCTGGGAGCTGGCAGCCAAATTCTGGTTCCACCTGGTTTTAGAGTGACCACAGTTTGGGCCAGCCTGTGGGATGATGGCATTTTCCGAATGTCATCCCCACAAATGACACTGGGTGTGTGTAATTCTAACGATGATTGTTTCTTCGTGGAGCCTCCGGGCTGCAGCCTACATCCTAGCACAGGTTGCTGGCTTTCCCTGGGAGTTCTGACAGCAGGAGGAGCGCAGGATGTAGAAGATAAACACAGCTGCAACGCCTTGCGCTGGTTTCAGATTCAAATAAATGACTCTCTGATCTCCCAGCCATGCAAACGCTTCCAAATAAACAGCCTTGGAGGATTTCATTCAGCCCGGGCTTCCCTTGCTGGAAACCTAGTGTCGTTCTGCTGAGAACGCGGCGTGAACTCTGGACCTGGGAACACGTTTTGGTCACGTGGCTCTTTTTATTTGGGGTGTTTTTTTAAGCTGGTCACAGCCATTCAAACAAACACACGCCTGGAAGCCAGCGCTCCCCTAGCTGACCGTGTGTCTGCTGGGAAGAGGAATGCCAAGGAAGCTTTCCAGGCACGCGTCCGGATGGAGCCGAGGCTCTCACCTTTGTTTCTCTCCCTCTCACTGTTTTGTTTGGCAGGGGGGAATTATTCCAAGCAGGGCAAGTTCAGGTTGCCAGGGGCATCGCAATATTTTAACTATGCAAGATACCAGGGGGGGAATAACAAAGGGCTGCTCTCTGCTGAACAGTCCCGGCGGTTCTTGTCTCTGGCTGGGTGTCACACCTCCCTTCTCCTCTCCTCTCCTCTCCCCAGCAAATCCCGAGGACCAGTGGCAGCGGGAGATCAGCGAGAAGGGGGAAGTTGCCTGTCCAACCTGCAGCGTGATAACCAGGAAAACTGTCGTTGGGCTCAAAAAGCACATGGACGTCTGCCAGAAAGTAAGGGCTTGCCGTGTTCAGTGACACACCTTTGGATTTCGGAAGGCAATGGCCACGTGCATGCGCTGCTTCTAAACCATATTGGTCCTCCTCAAAGCAGTTCTGGGCTGGGGCTGGGGCTGGTAGAGCTCTTGCTAGTCATCTTCAGAGAGCTGCTGCCTCCCTTTGTTTCAAACACAGAGAGGAATTTGGACACCTAATTCTCATCAATTCTGAATCCCTTTGTGGTCTGGGCCCTTTGTCCCCGTGTACCCAGCAGAGTCAGTTATTTCTAGCAGCTAAATGAATAGTTTTAAGGCCGGAGAGATTGCTGGGGTTGTCTCTAATCTGCCCTCCTCCAGAGACCTGGCTGTGGGGTTTCGCTGCGTGCCATGCCTTGCATCAGGCCAGATAAATTGTGGTTGAATGAGAGCACGTCTCAGAGAGACACCAAGCTCGGATGTGCTCCGGGCAGACTGTCGCGATGCAGGAGTTCAGTAATGGCACAGTGAAAAATTGTCCCTCTGCCACAGCGCCATCCATCAGAGCAAAGGATTACATCTTCAGCTGTCACCTGGCATGCTGCAGAGCCACTGCCACAGAAAGCCAACGTGGGATCGATGCCTCCCACTTTGAAAATACATGGCTCAGCTTTGATTCCACATTCATTTTCTGTCAGTGCCTCCTCAGCCTTTGCCTCGCTCTTTATCCAGCAGCGAGAGGCTATTTATCCCTTCCAAACCCTGCGTTACATCGATGCTGGGCAGAATCCTGCCTCCACTAGCGTCCTGGCTTCAGTGGAGGGGGGATCTTGGCCATCAGCTCCCTCATCTCCTGTGCTTTCCGAGCGGCTCCCTCGCCAGGCAGGCTCCGCGTGGGCTGCGAGGCCAGCCAGCCCCCCGAGTGCAAATCTGTGCGAGCCGTCAGGCCTGTCTTCCCCTCTATAAATAGCCCTGTGGGTGTTCAGCCAAGCAATCGGGGCTTGCACAGCCTGCCAAGCTCACGACAAAGCAGAGTTAGCGTGGCCTTGAGTCACGCCTGCCCGGGAGGACGTGCCTGCCTCTCCCTCTGCAGCAGAAGCGCTGGTCCCAGTGGTCACGCCGGCTCCAGCTGAAGGAGCAGGTGTGTTCTTCCCTTTCCCACGAGGTGTAGTCCCTCCTGGGTGGCCGTGCCACTTCGGGAGCTAAATAGCTTCACAGAGCAGCCTGTGGCCTGGCAAGGGCAGTCCTCAGACTTGATGTGTCCACCCCGCAGCAGCATCTCTGCAGGGAGCCTGCAGCAGGTTTTACCCTCGGGATGTTCCCATCAGAAGTGACCCTGCAGCACAGGCACCCTCTCTGCTCGCTCTCTGTTTAGTGATTGAAGTATTTCTTAGCTGGGCAATGGGAAAAGGATGTGCAGACTCCAGAAATTCTTGTAAAACAGCCGAAATTGGTTCCTGCTTTCCTTGCTCACGCCTGTTGTCACTGAGCAGTCTGCCCTTTTCCGTAGGTTTTAGAAAGGAAATAAGGGGTAGGGATGGTTGCAACATCCTTGAGCCCAAAGGAGATGAGGGCAGGTGTAACCTCCCAGCATCCCAGCTGGAAGAGCTTGGCAGGACAGGAACATTTGATGTTCTTCAGTGTTAACCAGAGTGGTATAAACCCCACGTTGGCTGCCCCTGGCATCTGGTGAGTCCAGGAGCTTTCAGCACCCACCTCGTTAGGATGGTGCTGGGGTCTGGAACAAGATTAACCCATCAGAGCACAGGTACAAGCGGTCATTCCCAGTTGGCTGCTGTGAGTTTATTCGTCATTTTCTAAGAGTTCTAGGACAAGGAAGGATTCACAGCTCCATCTGCATCCCCTCCCCAGCTTCCAGGCCAGACTTGAGGGAACGGGCAGTGGTGAGAGTGGCAGGAAGAGCAGGAACAGCCGTGGCCATCCCAGCACCATCCTGTCCCACCAGACATCCTGTCTCCTGGTGCTTGGAGCATTCACCTCCTGAGTCAATAAATTCTTGTACCAGCCCCAGCAAAATGAAATGTTTTCCAAAAACTGGGGCATATCCAGGCCAACACAGAGAAAACTGAGTGGCAGGCTCAGATGGGGTCGGGGGGACGCGGGTGCTGAGTTGCCTGCTGAGTCCCACCAGGGGGAACTGACGCAGCAGCAGCTGCCCCCGGGGCTCGGTGAGGAGCAGCCCTCGGAAACCTGAAGGTGTTAGCAGCCCCCGTGATGATTTGCTTCTGATTCCTCCAGCTGCAGGACGCCTTGAAGTGTCAACACTGCAAAAAGCAGTTCAAGTCCAAAGCTGGGCTGAATTACCACACCATGGCTGAACACGTCAGCAAGGTAAGAGGGCTGCGGACCTCTCACCTCACACCTCGTTTCTCCTCTCTCCCCAAAGATGCAGATGCAGAAGACGAAGCAATCGGCAGCTCGCTTTCCTTTGTCTTTTCAAAGGAGGGATTCCCACGACCGCAGTAGCCTTCCCCCATCCTTGCCGAGCAAAGCCCTGCGTCCCCAGGCAGCTGGTTAGCTTCGTGTTCACCCCTGAGCGTAGAGCAGAGAGCTGGAAAAACAAAACAGGATTTCCAAGCCCAGAACGGGGGAAGGTTCAGTGAGTGTGGTGAGGCAGCTTTTGAGGGGCAAAGCTCTGTTTCCAAACCTGTGCCCACAAACGTGGGATGGATGGGTGCTGCTTTGCACAAATCTCCAAATCCCACGTGTTGCTCTCCACCGTCCACGTGAGAAGTAGCCACAAAATCTGCCACGAACAAAATCTGGCAGGCAGCGATTTAGGTGCTGCTCTTAAAAACCCAATTGTGAATGCCTCTGAGATAGCAGGGCGAGGCAGAACCCTCTCTCTCCATGTCCCGTGTTTACCAGTTGTGACTTGTCTTTCACCTGCGCACTGATCTCCCGCTCTTTGGCCCGGCTGGTGGCTTCTCTGTGCAGGAACTGCTCGTGGATTTCTCGGTTTGCCCTTTGGGTGCAGCCACGGGAAATGTGTGAGCAAAGCTGGCGTTTAGCAGCGAAACCACGGAGCAGTGGGACACCCAGCTTGCCTAAGGCGAGGTTTGCAGCCCGCCCGGGGCAGCTGCTGCGAGGCAGGGCTTTACCACCCACTCCTGGCACAGAGGACATGAGTAAATGGTTGACTCTGTCGCTTCTGTTACTTCCTTGTTTCCAGCCTGTTCCTGTGGAAACCGCTGGACTTGGTGAACAGGAAGAGCGGGAAAGGCTGAGGAAAGTGCTAAAGCAGATGGGAAAACTGAAATGCCCCAATGAGGTACAAGAACGATTCCTGTTTCTTGTTCTGTGAAAAGGTGGAAGGAGTGAGCCCCGAGGCAGAGGGGATGCGTGCCCTCCTGGCACCCCTCGGTGCGCCCTCCACTTCTCACACCGCTCCCCCTTAGCTCAGCTCTCCGTGTCCCCATCCCCATCCCGATAGCTCTTAGGGCCGTCCTAGCAGCAGGGTGGCAGCAGGGCAGGGTGAGGAGGGCCGCAAGCCGAGCTCAGCCTCTCCAACCCAAAAAAAGGGGCACGGCGCTGCCGTGGGCCCCTTGCACAGCGTAAACCCAACCGAACCGCGCCGGAACGGTGCCCAGCCTTTTGCAGACAAGTCACGAGCAGGTAACGGGGGCGTGTGGCTGAGGTTTGTCTCTGCAGGTGGTTTGGTGGCTGCGTGGGGCGCGTGGCAGCGCGTGCCCGCCACGCTCGCTGCTCCCTGCCTGCCGTCTGTCCGGCCGGGGAGCCTTGGCCGTGTGTCAGAGCAGGGCAGGTAGCTCAGGGGGATTTGGGGGCTGCTCCCTCTGCCTCTCCGTGTCACCTCCGTGGGCACGGGGCAGCCAGAGGGGAGTGGGGCTGGCCGGCTGCCTGCCGGTCCCCTGCGTGTCGGAGGGGTTTGCAGAGCAGGACGTGTTCCTGCCGTGCCCGGAGCAGCGGCACCGGGATCGTTTCATCCCGAAATCACAGCCCTCTCTCACCCTTCTCTTCCCTCCTTTTTCTCCCCAGGGCTGCGCAGCCAACTTCTCCAGCTTGATGGGCTACCAGTACCACCAGAAGCGCTGCGGCAAGCAGCTCGCCGAGGCCGACAAGCCCGTTTTCAGCTGCCCACACTGCGGCAAGAAGTACAAATCCAAGGCTGGCCACGATTACCATGTGCGGTCAGAACACCCGGCCTCGGTGAGCCCCCCGGACACCTCCGCAGCCCGAGGAACGGGGCCAGCCCTCCCTGTAGGGGACTGCAGAGCTGCAGAGCCTGTGGGCAGGACCGAGCCGGGCAGGGCCGGGCCGGGCAAGGCAGGTGCAGACGTCGGACTGATGTTGTTTTTTCCCTTTTCGTCACCTCACGCGTGCGTTGTACCTTGCAGTGTAGGTGGGGAACGGGCGACAGCCCCCTTTGCCCATCCCCAAAAAGCAGGGAGCTGTATCTAAGCGAGGGGAGTGGTGGGCGGTGTTCCCCAGCACCCGCGGGGCTGCCCAGCTGTGCTCCAGCCAAAAAAAATAAGAGATCAGATCACTCCTCCAGCAGCCAGCAAGCTGCTCGCCACCGCTGGGGTGGCAGGATGCGTCCCTGGGGAGCATCCTCTGTGCTGTTGATCCCTCCTGACAGTGCATCTGACTCTAATAACCCCATAACTCTAATAAACGGAGACGTTTATACACGTGGGAAGTCTGGGAGTAGGAAAGGACACGATCAGCCCAGCGCTTGGGCTGTGTGGTTGTGGGAGGAGGCGGGTGTGTGCCCGGGGTCCCCATGCTGGGGTGCTGCTGTCCCTGCACACAGCAGGTCTGCAACCAGCCCAAACCTGAGCATCCCCATCCCCGGGCTGGGGAGAGCTCTCCCCTTCTCCCCTAGTCATAATTCTTGTCTCTTTTTGCAGCCTCCAGAGGAGCCAGAGGTGAAGCCAGAGCCCAGCCCCGTGGAAGATTTTGAAAGGACCCCAAGCGGCCGCATCCGTCGCACGTCGGCTCAGGTGGCCGTCTTCCACCTGCAGGAGATAGCAGAGGATGAGCTCGCCAGGGACTGGACCAAGCGGAGGATGAAGGACGACCTGGTACCCGAAACGAAGCGGGTAAGAGGCTTTTACTTCTCCTTGCTTTGAGCTATTCATGCGCAGACATCCTGGCACGGCAGCGGGGCCCCAGGTGGCCGAGGCCTCGCGTTCTCGTGTTCGGTGCGTGCAGTGAATTAGCAGAGATGGCAAATTTCTTTCTGGAGGCTCCATACCAGCAGTGGGGAGATCAGGGTCTGGCCCCAAGGATATCATGAAGGAAGGTCTGTTGTCTGTGGCAAGGTGCAGGCTGACAAGCGAGGAGCACACAGAGAGCAGGTCAGGTCTAAAAGAATCACCTCGTCAGAGAGCAAGGACTCCCCAGGCAGAATTTCATCCCTTCCATCTCTCCTGCTTAATTTCTGGGAGGCTCTTCCCAGGAGGAGAGGCGTTGTGCTCTCTTCTCCCCCTTGGTATTTGCATTCCTCTTTTCCTCCTTGCTCTTTGGGTATTTTGTGGCTGAGCTGAGGGAGGGGCCCGGACAGCAGGCCCATGTGCAGGCCGGCACACAAAGACCTCGTAAAGGTTCCAGCCCCTGGCACAACAGCTCCATGAACTTCCCTTTGTGTTTTTTTTACGAGACGTTTCTTGTGTTCATGGTCTAATTGTTTAAATTGAACGCGTGAGCTCCATCCCAGCGCTAAGAAAACCGAATTGCTGCGAGGTTGGTGGCAGCAGATTGGCGTCGAAGATGAGAAGGGGGGAGCAAGCCCAGCTCCCAGGTGGCAGGCGAGGCTTTTGGGCTGGAGAACAAGGACCTCGAGCCCTGTGTTGGCCCCAGCTGCACCGGGCTTCGCTGCAGAGATGAATTCAGAGGTCAGAGCACGGCGAGTGGACGCATGTGGAGCTGTGAGAGTTTATCTGTGGGTGCATCTCGCCTTGACAACACGCTGAAATCTCATCTGCTCCTGAATTCCCCCTCTGCTCCGAATGGGCTTCAGGCGTGCTGGCAGAACCGCCCTGCAGCAGCAGGGAGCAGGGGGCAGCAGCTCAGCACCCCTGCGCATCGCCCGGAGCTCCTGCTGAGCACCCCCACGGTGCTCGTCCTTCCCAGGGAGCAGACACTGGGGCTGCAAAGAGACAAATCCTGCTTAACCATGAGAAGAAGAAGAAGTTTCCACCCTTTGGAGCACGCTGCTGAGCCCGCAGGACCCTTCCCTGCCTTGGAGGTGAGATGTCAGGGGTCAGTGGCAGATTGCAGCCACACCGCAGCAACACCCAGGGATTTGCAGGGCCCCAGAGGGTACCAGTGCTCCCAGTTCCAGCCAGTACCGCACTGGGAGCACCCATCCTGCTCGCCGTTTGCTTCGGAGCAGGACCTGCTCTGTCCCCGAGCTCTCCAGCGACACGCCACGGTCCCAGCAGCCCGCGAGGACGCTGAGGGAGGCGATGAAGAAAGCCACCCCTTGCTCCGTCCTTCTCCAAGCAGCCAAGCTCTTCCCCGGGGGAGGGCGTGCAGCTCCTCAGCAGCTCCTTTGGCAGCATCCTGCCTCTCCCAAATCTCCTCCGGGTGCCCCCCTGCAGCCCCCCCACCACATTGTGCCCACCGTGGCCGTGCCGCAGCCGGCCCTGGCCGGGCTGGGACGCTGCTTTGGGATCCTGTTGGTGGCCCGTGGTGGGACGCCTTCGCCTTCCCCCCGGGAGGATGGATTCCTTCTCACCAAAGCCATGGCATCAGAATAAACGATTGCTGCTCGGATCCCAGGCCTTGCAATGCCTTCCTTCTGCGCTAACCAGATCCAGCACTTCTAAATATACACTGGAGCCTGATTTTCTCGCTCCGATCTTTATTTGCCTCTGGATAAGCTGAACCAGATGAGGGATTTCACAACGGCCGCTTGCTGAGGATGTCAGATTGGGGAAGGGCACACCCCTGCTGCTTTTCTGGGAAAAAATCTCCTCTCCAGAAGCTCCGTGAAGATGGTGCCAATCCCCCCGGCCCTCCTCCGACCTTTGCTGGAGCCAGCCCCTACCTGCAGCAAGGCCCAGCTCTGCCTCGGTGCCTTCAGCCTTTGGGCAGGGGGGTGAGAGGCTGCCAGGTAGGGGGTGGAGGTGGTGGTGGGCTCCCAGCTCTGCACGGGGGTGCCCTGACTCATTTTGGAGGCTGATGTGGGAGAAACAGCCTCCTAGAGCGGAGGGAAGAGGTGAGCAACGAGAAAACACCTCGGAAATCTGGCTGTTTGATGGGCTGATGCCTTCCCTGCTCCCCCGTGGAGCAGCTTGTGCTCCTGGAACTTTTTTTTTTTTGTCTTGTTCTGCCACAAGCCCAGCTCCAGCCGGGTACCACGGCCCTTCCTGCTCTCTCCAGCACTTTTGGGGGAACAGTTTGCTTTCCTGCCTGCTCCTGGGGGTCTGCACGGTGCTGGGGACCCGGCTGCTGTCCTGCAGGAGCAGGGAGAGGGGCGCTGAGCCCAGCAGGGGCAGGGATGGAAGGGGAGCTCGCAGCAAAGCGCTGGCGCACACCAGTCAGCAAGCTGGAGGGCAGAAGTCATCCGCGGGCTTGAGTTTTTTTTAAGAAAACCCCGCGTTGGGAGCGGAATGCATTCCCAGACCAGAAAAATCTGGCTCGGGTCTGTCCCCCAACACAATGGCCCAGCCATCCGGGCAGAAAACGGCAAGTCCTGGAGCCAGGCTGAGCCCCGAGGACTCGGCTCAGCGGTGGCCGAGCTGGCTGCTAGCAGGGGGCTCAGGTGAGGACCCCCCAGGACCGTTCCCCGTGCCCTGCCCTCGCTCAGGAGCCCGGCCACAGCTCCTGGCTTTGCCTCCTGGGTGAAATCAGCTGCATTTTGCACGGGGCAGGACCACGGAGAGGTCAGGGGGCTGTGCCGAGGTGTTGGCGTGCGTGGTTCTCGTTTGCTGCGTTGTATTTTGGGGAAGGGGAGAGCCGTCTCGGGCCAGCGGAGAGGATGGAAATCTGCAAGTGAAGGAAATAAAACCACCCGTCACAGAAAAGGAGCCTTCCCAGCCCAGCATCCTTCGACTGTTCCGAGGAAGATGGGCCGCCGCCAAACCCGGTTGTAGCTCTTTTAATGATCTGGCCCCGAAGATTTTCACTTACAGGCTGTTTGAGGAAAATAAATGGAAGAAAATAAAATATTCCATGCCTGGGGCTCCTGCTTAATAGAGACATAAAGATGGCTTTGACATTCCCAGAACCGCAGCGCCCCGGGAAGACATGGGATTTGCATGTCATTGTGCAGTGCCTGCTGGAGCAGAGCGGGGAGGGATTTATTTTATTTTATTTTATTTTTTTTCCCCCGGAGTGGGAAGCCGGAGCAGCAGAACCCGCATCTCTGAACATCCCCCCCCGCCTCCTCCCCGGGGACACGCAGGGGGAGAGGGTTGTTGCCGGGGCCGCTTGCGGTTCCCATTAATGTTTGCTCATTCATGGGATTGATTGGCTTTTAATTAAGGAGGCCGCTTGGCATCCCCGCCTCTCAGTATCAATGGCAAAAAAAAAAAAAGAGCCTCCTGGGTTCTCCCCCGGAGGTGGCATCGCCTTCCCCGGGCAGGGGAGGACGGGGGCGGGCGGTGGATGCCCCCATCCCAGCGCTTCAAAGGGCTCTGCTGGCATTTTGGTGGCCACGAGGCGTGACAGAAGAGCAGCACGCCGGGGCTTGGGGGATTTTTCCACATCCGTCCTCACCAGCGTCCGTTCCGCAAGTCCCTTCGCCCCTGCCCTTCGTGTGGAGCCTCTCTCCTCCCTCCTCCAGCTGAGGGGGGCACGGGGGGGGCTTTTGTGGTTGGCGTGAAACGCCTGGATGCGCGTTTTGAAGGAGCAGCCTGGTTTTTGCACCTTTCTGCAAGCGTTTTTTGAGCCTGCTTCCTCTCCAATGAGCAAAGTTACATTGATGTGCTGGAGGAGCCCCCGTCCCCAAAACCGCACGGGTCCCACCGAGCAAACGAGGGTTTGGGGACACGAGCAGCACCCCCTGGTCCTCGCCCAGCTCCTGCCTGCATCGTGGCACGGCCGAGGGCAGCTCCAGCTGCAGGAGGAGCAGCCCCGTGCGCCCTGCGGCACTCGCTGCGCCCGCGCCCTGGTGGCACCAGCCCTGCAGGTAGGGCCCCGCGCCCCACGGCCACGTTTGCGTGGGCTGAACACACAGAAACAGAGCTGGAAGGGCCCAGCCCGCTAAGCTAACCCTCCAAGTCGCTAATAAAGCAGTAATTAAAAGCACTTGGAAGGAGCAGCGCTGCCAGAAGGAGAGGCAGAGACACGAGAGGCTCTCATTGTTCGGTGGGGCTGCGCCCGGTAACCGGTGGAAGGCAGCCACGGGGGCTTTTCCAGCTGGGCTCTGTCCCCTCTGCCCAGCTTGCGGGTCACAAAATGTGGCCGAGGGGCTCCTCCGAAATGAGACCTGGCCCCGAGCAGCCGTGGGGAGCGCGCCCCAGGATCTAGAACCTTCTCTCGTGTCTCTGCCCGGAGGTGGCCGCGGTTCCTGCCCCGTGCCGTCCCCACCGCCCCCCGTTCCCACTGCCCCCTGGCTCTCCAGGAGAGCCACCCCCGTGCTGCTCAGTGCCCAGGGAAGGGAACATCCTCAGGGGAAGCTTTCCTGCTCGTTTTCGACCCCAATTCACTTCTCTGGAGGGAACGGGGGGGGTCCAAACCCGTTTGGAGAGCAGGGCCCCCCCCCGGACAGTGCCGCTCTGCTAACGCCTTCCCCTTGTTCACAGCTCAACTACACCCGGCCGGGACTTCCCAAGCTCAACCCGAGGCTGCTGGAAAACTGGAAGAACGAAGTGAAGGAGAAGGGACACATCAACTGCCCCAACAACGTAAGGAACGCTTCTCCTCTCCCGCTTTCACCCCATGGAGGGAATTTTTTGGGGCAGAAACCCTCGGTTCGTTTTGTTCCCGAGCACCGAGGCTGCAGCAGTTTTGTTGCTGCTCAGCCCTGGTTTGAGCTGCTCTCCCCACGCAGCGTGGGCTGGAAGCACGTCCCCTGCCAGGGCTCTCGAGCACGCGGGGGGCTCGGGAATCACCCCTCCCAGGTCCTGGGTGCTGGTGGGAGGCAGGTTTTGGAGCTCCCCAAAAGCTGGGGCTGTATTTGGGGAGCTCTGGCACCAGCACAGGGCGAAGGCTGCGTGCTCTGTGCCTGGGAGCCCTTTTTGCACAGAACCTGCTTTTCCCAGAGTAAAGCTGAGGCTGGTTTTAAGTCGTTTTGGGTATTTTCGTGCGTGTTTTTTAATTTTATTTTTATTTTCTAAGCGCTGGGATAGGCAAAGGCCTCCGGGACGTGGTGTGTGTGCTTCATCTCGCTGTAAAACAGCCTTGGCCTGAGCTCGCAGGGAGGTGAACTCCACCCTCGTGCTGGGCCGTTGATTTACAACGTGAAACAAAGCCTCAGCAGTGGGAATTTTGAGCGGGGCTCTTACCACAAGGCCGGGGGAGACGCACTGGCTAATGAATGTCATACACAGGCGCTTTGAAAAGACGTTGCTCAGAAACTGGTCATGCTGCTGCCCTGGTGATTTCCCTTCTCCGTTAAGCGTCTGCTGTGGCTCCAAGAACTCCTGTAGCCCAGCAGGGCCTCCTGACTGCTCGCAAATGTACGTTTTCCACGGAGACGTTGAGGGGAGACTTTTTTTTTCCAGCCCCTTGCAGGGGGACGCGGCCACATGACTCCCATTAGCGCTAATAGGAAACGTGTGCCCAGAGCCCTCGGCGTCTCGCGCAGCATTAACCTCCCGCTGCTCCGCCTGGACCCGTGGCCTCGCTGGCCCAGCGGGCTCCTGGCCACGGGCTGGAGGAAGGCCTGGAGACGAGGGAAAACAGTGGCCAACCCTCCTGTGTTTCTTTTCCCGCAGTGCTGCGAAGCCATTTACTCCAGCGTCTCGGGGTTGAAAGCTCACCTGGCCAACTGCACCAAGGTAGGTCCTGCCTCTCGCCCCTTCGGCTCGGAGGTGGGCTTGGGCTTGTCCTTTTGGAAGAAGCAGGCCAAGGGACAAAATAAAATAAAAAAGGACGTGGGTTAAAGGATGGCAACGTGGGCAGGATCAACCCCCCAGCCCCGCGTACCCGAAAGTGGCGAGGCTGCAGCCCAGCGGGCGTCGCGGAGAGCTTTTATCTCCTGGAGGAAAACCCTTGCCTGAGCCAACATCTGACCCAAGGACAACCCGCAGCAGCCCCTGCACAGCTCCTGCAGCCCCTGATTTAGTTGCAGCTGTGGCCAGCACCGCCAGGAGCCGTGCAGAGACCGCAGGGCTGTGGGCAGGCAGAGCGGTGGCACTGCCGAGCGCCGGGGGGCCGCGGTGGCCTGCAGCCCCCACAGGAGGAGGGATCGGGAGCTCAGCGTAGGTCCCTCGCCTTGGAACGGGGTGAGCTCGTAAAGCTTTCTGCCCTGAAACGTTTCCAGCTGCAGCTTGCATTGAACGCAGCTTCCAGGAGGCAGCTCCAACGCATACCCCACGGTTATTAAAAACACAAACTCCCGCACTCCTCCAGCACGAGCTGGAACATCAGCCCCTAATGAGATCATTTCGAAAATGGGCTGCAGAGACCCGGCAGAAGGAGCAGGATTTACACAGGATAAAAGTGCAAGCGCAGGAGGCTCCGGCAGCTCCTTTGCTAGTTTACAGACCCGGGCACCCAGCAGCAAATGGTTTCTGAGCGAAAACCAGGCGTTTTCTGGCTGGTTCTGTTGTCAGTGCTCTGGTGCCTGTGCACAGAAGGTAGCCAGGGCTTGCGGGATCATTTTCTCCAAACACACAGCTGCGTTGCCCACGAGAGGCAAGCCTGGCACAGCCCACGCTGCAGCTCCCCATCCTCGGTGGGGATCGAGGAGCCGAGCTGATTTTTACACGAGGGTTTACGGAGCCGGGCCTGCCCCTCTCCAAAACGCACGAGCTGTCCCGCTGCAGATTTACAGCCCAGAGCCAGCCAGGGAGAAATTCCCAGGGAGCGATGTCTGTGTGGCCCGAGGGGGCCATCCATCAACCCCTTGTCAATAGAGAACACATTATCCCCCCCCCTCCATGAGCCGGGTGATCAGTCACCCCCAGGAGGGCTCTGCCGACAGGAACCCAGCGGTAGCCGCAGCTCTTTGACAGCCTCAAAGGGCAGCGAGGTGAGGCTGGCGGGCGTAAATTAGCCGAGGGCTCGGTCCCCGTAGATCACAGCTCTGCTGACAGCGAGGGAACGGGGGCGTTCGGCCCCACACGGGGTCTGCGCAGCGCCGTGGCTGCCGTGGGTAACGCAGGGGCACCGAAATCGGGCACTGGCTGTGCCCTGCGAGCCTGCAGGACCCGAAATTTGGGTGCCCGGGGAGCTTTTGGGCTCTGCCTTGGGGCTGCCCGTGGGTTCTGTGTCTTTGCAGGGGGACCACTCGGTGGGCAAGTACCGCTGCCTCCTCTGCCAGAAGGAGTTCAGCTCCGAGAGCGGGGTCAAGTACCACATCATCAAGGCTCACTCGGAGGTAAGGAAGCAGCCGGGGCTGCTCCGGGGCCCTGCTGCCACGCGCCCGCGCTCGGTTTGCCCCTCTCCAGCCCCTCAAATCCTCCTGGAGCAGGGCGCAGCAGCTCCCATCAGCATCAGCCTCGTTGGGACAGCCTCAGGGCAAGGCACGGAGCTGCTGTGCCAGCCCGGGGGGGGGCTCAGTGCTCAAAAACCTCCAGGGAGGTGATGCCAAAGGGCATGGGGCAGCTGGGGCTTGGGAAAAGGGGGCGAGAGAGCCAGCTCTGTGGGGCTGCCGGGGCCGAGGCAGGTCCCTAACCAGCCCCTTTATCACCCCGTGGATGCAGAACTGGTTCCGAACCGCCGCCGAGGCCAGCAGGAAAAAGAAAAGCAGGGAGCAGCTTTCATCCAGCAAGGAGGAGAAAAAGAAAAGCACAAACGGGAAGAAAAGGGGGAGAAAACCCAAGGAGAGGCCTCCGGAAATATCCCCCAAAGGCAAAGAGAGCCTGGCGGCAAAGACTAATCACAAGAAAAGCCCCGAGCACTGGGAGGGCTCCCGCTGCAGCCCCGCCGGGGACGAGCGCGTCCCCAAACCCCCGAGCCAGCACCGCAAGGGGGGGGGCAGCAAGGTGCCCGAAAAGTGAGAGCTCAGAGACTCCTCCGCGAGGATTCACGGATTCGTTTACAGCCCAGGGTAACAGGGTGAAGGGGGGGGTTGGGGGGGGGCGCTCCCGGTTTTCTGTCCCCCCTCTTTTCCCTTCCTATTCCCCCTCCACCCTCCGCTCGCCCCCCTCCCTTCCCCCTTTTTACAAAAAAAAAGGAAAAAAAATGAAAAAAAAAAGAGACGGAAAATAGCGATTAACCACTTTAAGCAAATCATGGACCTTGTTTCACACTGGAAAGCAAACAGGACCGAGCAAGCTGGACCCTTCTCACCCCCCCCGCCCATGTACATACCCCCCCCAAACCCCTCCAGCCCAACGGGGCCCTGCTGCCGTCCCCCCCCCCGCGTCCCCCTTCCTTCCCTTCTCACCCCCTGTGTGAAACTGGTGACGCTTGAGCGAAAGAAAAGTGCAATAGCAGCAGGGCCCCGGTGGACGGGGTCGCTCTGCGCCCTGCCAGGGGGCTCACCCCGAGCCCCCCCTTGCCCTTGTTGAAGCCTTTTTGTGGCCGCAACCCCCCCTCGGGGGGCGACGTTCCCAAAGATGCTGGACCCGTGGGGTGGGAAGGGACTGGGGGGGGACAGCAGGGTGCTGGGGGGGACCTGGTGGCACTTTGCCCGCAGCGGGGGGCTGCCCCAGTGGTGCCTCCAAGAGAGGGCTGTAGGGTTTTTTTTTGTCATATTATAGGGAAGGAGCGGGGAGGTGGCACGGAGCACCTCGGGGGGCCCCCATCCTGCCCCAAACGATGGCCCCAAAAAAGGGGAGCAGCATTTTGGGCACCCGGCTCCTCGGTGGGGCGTGCAATGGGGACACAGGGTGAGCGTGGAGTGACAATCACAGCTCCTGCCTTCGGGCACGGCGCCGCTTCCCTTCCCTTCCCTTCCTGGCTTTTCTTTTCGGGGCTGGGGTTTTTCCCACACCGGGCTCATCCCAAATCGCTCTGGCCTGGAGGAAAGGGTCCCCGGAGCCAGCGGTGTCCGTCCGCAGACACAAACCAGGCTACCTCCGTCCTCGGGACGCAGACCCCGGGGCACCCGCGGCGCTTTTCTGGTGGTGGAACAGAAAAAAAAAAACTCATTTTGGGTTTTCCTCCGTTCTGTTCCCCCGCCTGGGGCTCGGGAAGGTGGTGACGGGGAGGGGAGCTTCTGCTTTTTTTGGGTTTTGGTCAGTGAAAATCCCGTCCGAGGCTGGGGTGGCTTCTCTGGGAGCCGGCCCTCGTGCCCCAGCGGCTGTCCCGCAGTGAGGGAACCCTGCTGTTGCCTCGGGCTTGGAAGCAATTAGCGAGAAAGCTTAATTAGTCACGGCGGCTCATCCCGTTGGCTGCTTGCGCTGCGTCCCATCTTGGCTTTGATGCTATCGCCCGTGCAGATCTCATCTCCGCGGGGCTTGCGAGGAGCTGCAGGACCTGGGGTGCCCCAGGCTCGGTCAGGGGGGACGTGGGGATGTGGGGACACGGTCCCAAGAGTTTTTTCTGCATTTTAGAGGCTGCTGGGGCAGTGGTAGGAGAGGGACAGAGGGGGCAGAGCTGGGGGAACACGAGGCTGGCAGGAGCTGGCAGCTCGCGGCACCGAGCTCTGCACCGAAATCCCCGCGTAGGTGCTTTGGGGAGGGCTCTTTGGGGGGTTTTGTGCCCCCAAAAAGGGCTGGGAAGCTGGCAGCTCCGTGCTAACGTCAGAGGGAGCTGCTGGATCCGAAAATCAGGGTGTTTGGGAGCCGAATGTGGTTTCCTCTTGGGCTGTGACCGTGGGGCCGGTGCCCACCTCGAGGCAGGGCGTGCCAAAACGCGCTCGGGAGCCCAGCAAATTTCTGCTCCTCAGAAATCCGCCTTCCCCGAGGGATGTGGCTGAAATTTCTGAATGCTGTGGCTGAATTCAGCTCCCAAGCTGGGAGGTGGCATCGGGAGAAGGCTCCTCCGTGTCCTGGCCCCGGCTGCGCTGGCTCCAGGTTCCCCTTGCAATCCCCACCGCCCGCCCCAGGGAGCATCCCGGGGCTCGCCTTCATTAACACGCGATTAATTTGATTCCCATTGATTAAATCAGCACAAAGTGCTTGGCCCAAAAAGCAGCTCCCTGGTCAGAAGGAAATTTCGATGAGGAATTGAACTCTTCAGGGTTGTTTTTTTTTTCCCTTTGATTTTTTTTTCCCCCCGCTACTCATTACTCGGTGCAGGATTTGTTCTCCCACCGCTTTCTTCTCCATAAAGAGCTGCAAAAAGCGTTGGTGGCCATAACAGCCTAGGGACAGATTTCTCCTCGAGCCTGGTTGCGCCGACGCAGCCGGCGGTGAGGACACAACCCGGCCCGGCACCGGGAGCTCCTAGATGGGGCTCAGACCCCAAGAGAAATGGGGCCAAAGTGGGAGGCGAGGGGCAGAGCATCCCTGGAAGGAGCTGGGTTCATGCAGCAGCCCCCAGCCCGCTGCGACCGAGTCCTCAAAGCCACGTGAGCGCACGCCCCTCGTGTCCTGGGTCCACCCGAGCTTTTTCCTCCCACGAGGGCAGAGAAAACCTTTTGCTTTGCTTCGCCGCGAGCATCTTTCTTTCCTTTACCCGCTCGGGGGAGGCTCCTCGCCCCTCGCTGCCCACCTCCGAAGCAATAACGGGAGCAGCAGCTCCTGCCTGCCCCGGGGCGCGCGGTGCCGCCGCTTTGTGCTTGGTGGGCGCCTAAAACCGAGCGGGTGGGGGGCAGCAGGGTGTGGGGGGCGAGGCTGGCTCCACGGTGAGCTATTTTTCTGCCCTTTTATCCCCTTTCCTGCTGGGATTTGGAGACGTGGTTGGGCTGAAGCGGCCGGACCCGCTGCTTGGATGCGCACGGTGTCAGCGGGGAGCTCGGGGGGTGCAGCTGCCCAAATTCATCTTCACGCCGCCCGCACCTGCACATCACCCAGGAAAGGGCTAAAAACCTCCACGTGCTTGGGGACGGGAGGGCTCTGACCCAGCCCTCACATGGAGCCGGCCCCAAAAATGTCTCCGGTAGCTCCCAGTGCCGAAATTTGCCGTGAAACACCGGCGAGGGCGGCTCCGCACCCGCACGCGCGCCCGGGGCTGCGGGTGCCGGGGTCCCACCGGGCACACCGAGCACCCCCCGGGGCCGGGACCGTTTTGTTCTTTTCTTTCTCTCCCCGTGCCACCCATCCCACGGCATATCCGAATGTTTCTCGTCGACGCCAGTTATTAGTGCGTAAGTGTATTTTGGGGAAAAAAGCGAAACGGAAAAAAAAAGAAAAAAAAAAAAAAGAAAAAAAAAAGAATTTTCAATTTATCACTTGTAACCATATATATAAATATATAAATATATATATTAAAAAAAGTGTTTATTTGCAAAAAATAAAATTGTTTTAACAGTAAACTATCTTATAATAAACTCCCGATTTGTGACGATCTGTTCTTTTGTTAATCATGGACAAATCCTCAGTTTGAGAGTACTGTAACGAGCAGCTATTAACCACAGCGCCGCCGAGCACCGAGGAGGGATAACTCGATGTACTGTATGTATTAAAAGCAGCTGTATCGAATAAATGTTTATTGATTTTTTTATTCTTATTATCACCATCATCGTTATTTTGCAGTTTGCCGGGAGGGTCTGCGGGGAGCGGGCACGGCGAGCGCTGCCGTTCCCCTCCCGGGTGATGAAATCCCTAAAGGGGCACGGAGGTTTGCTGCTGGGAAGGGGGCTCCCTCGGTTGAGTTTCCTCTTAAAATCACCCTAAAATCACCTTAAAATGTTTGCCCCAGCACCCCAAGCCCCACAGGAGGGGGACACCATGCACCCAATGCTCCCAGAGCCCCTCTGGAGCTGTGGGGTTGCTGTGGGGCAGCTCGGACCCCATGGGGCAGTCCTGGGACTTGCTGCCCCCGATCTGAGCCGTGTAGGTGGGGATGCGGTGGGCGATCCCCAAACCTGACCCTGCTCCTGACCGCTGACCCCGAGGGACCACCCTGAAGCTTTATGGGGTTGGGGGGGCCTGGGGGGTGCTTCCCATGCACCCCCCAGCACCATAACCTGCGCCCCGGGGTGCGTTCCTGTGCCCCGTGGCACCCAACGGAGTCCAGCAGCACCCGGGTGGCACCCACCCGTGCCCACAGCACCCACAAATGCCCCCAGCACCCCCCCGGGCCCCACAGCACCCACTGGAGCCCCTCAGCCCCCCCCCCCCCCGAGCCCCTCAGAAGGCCCCAAACCCCTCAGCCCCCCCCGAAACCCCCAGCACCCCCTGAACCCATCAGCCCTCCCAGGCCCCCCAGCACCCCCTGTATATAGGGTATACCCCCTTATACCCCCCTACACACCCCTACACCCCCCTATAACCCCCTATACAGCCCTAAAACACCCCTATAATTCTCCTACACCCCCCTATACCCCCTATAACCCCTTGTAACCCCCCTTATACCCCCCTTTATCCCCCCTATACCCCCCTTGTACCCTCCTATACCCCCCATACCCCACTATAACCCCCTACACCCCCTCTACACCCCCCTATACCCCTTCTACAACCCCCTTATACCCCCCTATAACCCACCCTATACCCCCATTACCCCCCTACACCCCCTATAACCTCCCTACACCCCCCTTATACCCCCCTACACCCCCTATACCCCCCCTACTCCCCCCATACCCCCCAAAACCCCCCTACACCTCCCTCATACCCCTATCCCTCTATACCCCCCTATACCCCCCTACAACCCCCTATAACCCCACTTATACTCCCCCTATACCCCGCTATAACCCCCTACACCTCCCTACACCCCCCTATACCCCCCTATAACCCCCTTTTAGCCCCCTACACCCCTTTACCCCCCCAACACCCCCGTATACCCACACACCCCCCTTACACCCCCCCATTACCCCCCACACCCCTTACACCCCCCATACCCCTCCTACACCCCTCTATACCCTCCATACCCCCCCTTTTCCCCCCATACCCCCCTATCCCCCCCCCTACACCCTCCTTTTCCCCCCTTTTCCCCCCTTTACCCCCCTTTTCCCCCTATTTCCCCCCCGCACTACAAGTCCCGGCCCCCCCCGCGCCAGCTCCGCCCCGCCCGGCCCCGGCCTCTCCCCGGCAGCGCCATGGCCGCGGCCCCGGCGGCCGAGGGGGCCCCGGCGGCACCGGCCGGGAGGTACCGGGGGGGGGGCAGGGGGGGGCGGCACCGGGAGGGGTCCCGGGGGGTCCCGGGGGGGTCCCGAGGGGCTGGGGGTGGCTGAGGGGGGGAGCTGGAACCCATCTCGGCCCCCCCGGGGTGAAGCAGCGCCGGGGAATACGGAAATTTGGGGAGGGGGGGGGGGAAAAAAGGGGGGGTTCGGCCCCAAAAACGGGTTCTGGGGGGCTGCGAGCGCGTCCCGGGGGGGTTCTGGGGGTTTTTGGGGGGTGGGGGGTGTAACGGGTATGGGGGGGGCCCCCGGGTGGGGGTGTGGAACTGGGCTTTGGAAGGGGAGGTGAATTTTTTTGGGGGGGGGTAAAATTTCTTGGGGGGGGGTAAAATTTTTTGGGGGGGGGTACTGCCGGTGTCGGTGTGGATGGGGAAGAGCCAGGGGGAAGTGGGTGTGGGGTGGGAGGGGGGGGGTGGATGTGGAGGTGGGGGGGGGAATTTTGGGGGGGTGGGATGGGTGGGTGGGGTGGAACAGGACAGGATGGGATGGGATGGATGAGATGGGATAGATGGGATGGGATGGGATGGGATGGGTGATATGGGATGGGGTGAGATGGATGGGATGGGATCGGACAGAATGGGATGGATGAGTTGGGATGGATGGGATGGAACAGGACAGGATAGGATGGGATGGATGGGATGGGATGGACAAGATAGGATGGGTTGAGATGGGATGGGATGGAAAGGACAGGATAGAATGGGATGGATGGGATGGGATGGATGGGATGGAACAGGACAGGATAGGACGGGATGGATAAGATGGGATGGGGTGGGTTGGGATGGGGTGGATGAGATGGGATGGGTTGGAAAAGATGGGGTGTGTTGGGATGGGATGAGATAGATGGGATGGGTTGGGATGGAATGGATGAGATGGGATGGGATGAATGGGATGGGATGGAACAGGACAGGATAGGATGGGATGGACAAGATGGGATGGGATGAGATGGATGGGATGGGATAGGATGGGATGGAACAGGGCAGAAAAGAATGGGATAGGATGGAATTGGGACGGGATGTGGGGCATAGGGCACCGTGGGGTTGTGTAAGCGCGGGCACTGACCGCAAGGCTGTGGTGGAGCTGCCTGTGCCGGGTATAAATAGCAGCGAGCTAATGGGATCGGAGGAGGGAGGTGTTCCCTCTGCCCCGCCGGGGGGGCTGACCCCATTCCTGTGTGGGGTGAGGTGGGGGCACCAACCGTGGTCCTGCTCGGGTTTGTAGGGGCACCCTGTGCCCCTGGGGCTGCCTCCATCCCCCATTTCCACACCGCCACCTCTCTCCGGGCACTTTGGGCTTCCCAAAACCTGGCAGGGGGGATGCAGCCCCCCTCAGCGCTCAGACAAGGGGGTCGGACCCGTCTCGGTCGTTGTGCTTTGCCGTGGCCCTTCCCTAAATCCCAAAGAGCCTTGGAGTCGTCCCGTGCCAGCGGGCAGAGCCCAAACTGCGCCCAGGGGCGGCACCGGAGCCGATCCATCCTGCGAGCGCCGCTCGGCTTCGGCTTGGGCACCCCAGGAACTCTCCCAGGGACCTGGTGGTGACTTTGGGGTCGTGGTGAGCAGTGGGGGGAGAGCTGCTTGGGGCTCTGCTTCATCCCAGCACCCTGGGAGAGGTGAGGTCCCAAAAGTCTGCGCCACCTCTCGTGGAGAACGTCCTCATCTCCAACGTCCTCGTCTCCAACATCCTCATCTTGAACATCTTCATCTCCAACATCCTCGTCTCCAACGTCCTCGTCTCAGCCCCTGTGCATTCGGACGGCCTTGTTCTTGCTCTTTTTTCCTTAAGATATTTGGTTTTTAGGCTGAACGCTTCCTTTTCCTCCCGTTCCTCCAACATTTCCTCGCGGGGCGCAGGGGAGCGGAGGTGGCCGCCCCAGCACGCCTCCATCCGCCCTCGCCGCGTCGCTTTCGCTCGCAATTTCAAGCCCAGCTGCCCCAGCCCTGGGATCACAGGCTTAAAAAAATCTTCTAAAAGGAAGAAAAAAGTCCCAAAACGTTCGCCCTGCGTGAGAGCTGAGGAACCAGGAAGCGAAGGAGCGCACCCAGGGCCCTGCCCAGCGCCGTGCCCGCAGCCGCAGCGGCGCCCGATGCCCACGGTTGGATGCTGAGCCCCCCGGGGGGGGATTTTTGTTGCTGCCAGGATTAAAATTTGGCACGGGTAATTCCCATCCTACCTGGGAGCTCGTCTGGGACGTCGGGAGAGCCGCTGGGAGCATCGGTGCCACCGCTCGGAGGCTTTAAACAACGGCAGGGAAAAAAAAAGGCAGCAAGGAGCATGCGATACGGAACAGTGACACAGGGGCAAGGAGCACTTCGGTTCCAATTTCTGGTCCCCTTTTATTTTTATTTTTTTTTCTTCTATTTTGAGGAAGATCCCAAATCGCTGCGGAAAAGGGGTTTTTATTTTTAAACTCCTGCGAGCGCTTTTCCAGCGAGAGGGGAGCTGGTGCCGAAATGGCAGGGTGCGGGATGGGCTCCTTTGATCCCCTGGGTCAAATCCTGCTCTTTGGGGTCAGCTCCGCGTTATAGGGCCAGGAGGCAGCTGCTGAGCCCCCGTTCGGTGTCCGGCTGTCCCGTGGGGGTCCCGTTGGTGACCGTGGTGCTCGGTGGCCGTGGCTTTTTGGGCGATTTCTCAGCCGCCGCAGGAAAACTTCTTTTTTTTTTTTTTGCTGCCCAAACACCCGGGGTGGAGAGATTTTGGGGACGGGGACGAGGGGGGCAGCGGGAACGGCGGCGGTGGCGGCGTTATTCTTAGCCTGAGGGGTGTTGAGTTTCCAGGGCTTGTTTACTCCGGGGCTGCCGAGCTCACGGGGACGGCAAAGGGGGGGGTCAAATCCAACCGGCCCCCACCTGGGGGCTACAGGAGGGCGACAAACCCGCACCGACAGCCCCGCTAAGGCAGCACCAAGCCTTGTGCAGCCCCATCGGTGCCCCCCGAGGTGCCCGCTCCATCCCGGTGCCCCCCCCGGAGCCCTCCCTTGGTGCCCCCCCTGTGCTCACCGAGCTGCCCCGGAGCCGTGCGCTGAGTGTCAGAAGCAGCTGAAGGAGCCCCGGCCCCGAAACGAGCCCGTTCGTCCTCCGCCGGGGCGTTTCGAGGAGGTGCCACCCCCCTGCTGCCCCCCCCCCCTTTTTTTTTCTTTAATCAAGCCAGTGCTATTAATATCAGGTAATGAACGTAATCTCCGGGTTAAGCTATCCTCTTATGCGCGCTGACCGCCCCACGGCTCCCAGCAAAACACCTCCCGTGGTGTCCCCCCCCATTTCTGGGGTCGGTGCCCCCCCAGCCACACGGGGACGCTACCCCGCATGGCTCGTCCCAAAGCCTCCGAGCCAAAATTCCCCCCCAAATTCCCCCCGGGAGGTGCCCGGCCATGAGCAGCCCCCCGGCTTACGCCAGC